TCTGTAATGTTCTGCACCAGAAGTGACTGCTGGGCCCAACTGCGTTACCTGCTGTGGGGGTTTTCTGAATAGAAGGAGTTATAAAACGGTAAGAGATGAGTTCAGGCTTGGGCCTGAACCGCAAAGGGCTCTAAACCATGGCTTCTAGATACAACCAGAAAATAAAGATGATGCAGAAGTAAAGTCCTCCCCACACCCCACGTGCCTCCTCGGCTCCCTGGCTCTGCAGAGGAGAGGGACGTCATCCGCAGCACTCCTTGGTGGAGCAGAGAACACTTAAGTCCGGCGCCCGGCCCACAGGTCAGTGCAGAGAGGCCACAGCTTCAATTGCTTGCCCTGTGTCCGAGTCCAACACGCTGCTCAGAGCTGCAGTCGGGGGATCTGGATGCAGCAGGGTGGCAAATCTTATTCCTTCCTCCCGTCCTCTCCCTGGCCCTGCGTGGGGCTCGAGCACCATCTCCCAGTGTTAGCAGCCAGGTGTTTCACGACAGGGGGCTTGAGTGATGCCCGTTGAAAATGTTGTGATTAGCATTTAGATGAACAGCCATTTCCACAGTGGCACAACTGACATTTGAGACGAGCCTCAATTATTGACGGGAACTTAGGCAAGGCGGGAATGAGAGGGATTGTGGCACCCCTGCCAGGTAAGGAATTACTGGTGAGGCCGAAGGTCCAGCTGCGTTGTGTACACGTATAAATAGATCTGCCTGCCTGTGCTTTAAGAATTGCCCCTGCTCAGCACAGAGCAAGGTTGGAAACAGCAGCCGCAGGATCTGAAAAGCTCTGCTGGAACATGATCTGTTTATCCCAGACATGCATACGTAGCACGCGCTTTACCCTTGCGGAGGAAACGCAGCTCTTCTAATAGCAATGTCGGGTTAGCTCCATTGCTCGTTTGAACTGGAAATGAAAACGCCGAGGCAGCAGGTGATGCAACAATTTTGCATTGCAACAGAAGTATTTCTCTTGTCGGCCGTTGGCAGTGAAGAGCGCTTTTAAACCAAAGGCAACAGCTTAGCTTGTGATGAAATCATTCGTGACACTCCTGTACCTGAGCTCTGGGCCTGTTATGGGATTAGCCTTTCATAGAGCTAAAGAGGCCAGATGGCCCCGTATTTATTTTATTTTGGAAGACAGTCTAGGCTGTTCTGCTCAAGCTGAGCATCATCGTTGAAGACCAGTTTCTGAAAGCGAGACACAACACCTATGTGATGGGCCCAGATCTCTTCTATACCTGGCGACAGACTGAGCAGTCGTGCCGACATCAGTCCTGTTTGAGTCCTTCGTTCTGTCTCTGAAAACTCACATTGGCCATAAGAGTATCATCCTTTCACGCCACAGCCCAGACTTTCAAAACAGCTGTGCCCACAGGAACGATTGCCCAGGCCTGCGTTGTCACATGTCTGCCCTTGAGGACTTTTTGGCCAAAATGTCAAGCGCTGCTCTGCTTTGAACGGCTTGTGTGAACATCATCATGGTCAGTAGGCGCGCTCACTGACTCTCTTCAGAGCCAGATTTACACGACAAGTATAAGTTTAATAATTTATTTATTCTGGTCAAGGCTGCAGATCCAAACGAGCGTGGAGAAAATAGCTGAAATTGGCCCTGAGAGCATGAACCGGATCCTAGGGTGGCTTGTGCGCATTGGGGTTGAAGGTCCAATTCTAGGATTGGATCCTGAAGGTGATGGCACTGCACAGTCTGCACAGGCAGCAACCTGAAGAGGATGGAGAAGACAAGATGTGGCTTGGCCCTACATGCCAGTGAGGTTGTGCCAGTGGGAGACAGCCCAGGCATGCCTGACTTTGCACCTCGGGGTGATCTTGCAGGTGGAAAAAAAAATGCCACCTCCCTTAATGTCTGAACAGATGCCCTTGGATCCAGAGTCACTGAGAAACAGTCGAATAGAGAGCTCCGCGGTACATTTTGAGAGCGGAGGCTCTCAAATGTGCTGTATTTCTTTGCACACTTTTCCATGTGACAGGATTGTAATATGGCTTGCAAAGCACCCCGCTGCTAGTTCAGTGACAAATTACTCGGTCACCTGGGAAAGCAGATTTCACTCAATCTATATTCAGCCCTCAAGGGATTTTTTTTTTCCAGTGCCTGCTACTTGGCATTTATTGTGTGCCGTGGAAGGGGATGCTGCTGCACGGTGAGAGCTTGTCTCAGTGCTTTACCCGCACGCAGGGGGACCCGCTCATGCCCATCTCAGAGCGGTTAGACAGGGAGGGCCGCAGAGATGAATGCAGCGCGCTGACCACCAGCGCACCCACAGTTTTCAGCTTCAGGGCTGCTCAGAAAGGGCTACGGACGGCAATTACAATCTGGGTATTGACTTGCAAATGAATGTGCCAAGCGTCCTGCTGTGCTTCAGAAAGCCCCCATATCCCAAATGGCCATAACAAGCAGCTTGTTAAATGGGAGCAAGGCTGGCTTGTTGTGACAGCCTGGGATGGGAGAACTGGGACGCTCGGTGTGCTCATTTGCGTGGAAACAACAGCTGAATGCAAAAATCCTTCATCGGATGATGTCAAGACACTCGGCAGCCTCTGCCCTACTATTGTTGGTGTCTGTGTGTGCTCGGCTCCGTGTGCACGCGCAGGAAACAGCGCCTACTGCAAGGTGTTTGCTATCGAGACAGCTCTCGCTGTCTGAAGTTGGCAAATTAACACTGAAACTCCTGCATGGAAAGGGAGATAAAATCACCCGCGGCTGAAATGACACCACCTCCATGAGATGAGCATCTTTACATATCATTTCAGCAAAGCTATTACAAGGGGAAATTACCATGATCTGAAAGAGGGCGCTTTGTGCCTCAACGCTTAGCTAACGTCTCTCTCAGCTCTACAGTTCACCCAGTAAAAGATAAAACCAAAAACCCCCTTGTTTCTTGCCTATTTCCCGGACCGTCATGGCTACAACGCAACATTAGGCAGACAGGCTTAATTGCCCCAGTGGAATTTGTTCGGGGCCTCTGCTCTCGTGGGAAGCACTAGGGGAGTACAGGAAAGTTTTATTTTTCTTTCACGTCAGAACCTGCCACATCCTCCGTCGTCCTCCGTGGGCTCGTCCCCAGACACCCTGTCTTTGGTTGCTGGGGGAGGACCGATGGGGGCAGGCCATGCTCTGTAGCTATATGGCGCCCAGTGCAATCGCGAGTCCGGGTGGGGATGCAGGCTGCCCTTCTCCTGTCAGATTTTTCCTGATGTTTGGAAGACTCCAGATGTACTCCCCAGTTGCTTCTCTGTTGTCTCAATGTGGTGAACCAGACCTGTCCATTTGCCACACTTCGCACACAGCAGTCAGATCCTCGTGGGGTTTTGCTTCATCAGGTGGCTGTCCCAGAAAGTAGCATCAAGTATCGGGGCGCATATGGAGAAATGGTCTTGGGGCGTCATTCTTTGTTTCAGATGAAGTGGACGAGACTTGGTCTTAGCTTTAGGTTCATATGGATGTCAGGGCCGTTTTCAACCCCAAACACCAGCCAAGCCTCCAGGGCTGCAAGCCCAGATGAACCAACCTTACTAGTTTGTGTTCATGATCTGAATCTCTTAAGTTTTGCCCGATCTTGGAGAATAAACATAGGTGGTAGCCTGAATTCCTCCATTCAGTCTCATCTAAACTCTTCATGGCAGCTACAGTTCGAAGCTGTGGTCAGAATGGTATTGGGCTACATAAGGGTAAAACTGCAGCTATAATACACGGTCACGCTGCTGTCAGCAGTTTATGCTGAACCAAAAAAGCTGACTAGCCTTTTCCGTCCCTACTTATGGCCATTTTTAAAGGTATTAAGGCTGCTAAACATGCAGACAGATGCCTTGGGCATTTTTCAAAATAGCTCCCATTGATTCCCTGGGGAAGAAGGAGTCTCAGCAGCTCTCATGACATTTCAGCCCTGTTCCACCGCTAGGATGGAGACTTTCACCACTGCAGATGTCTGAGATCTCTTGGAGATTTTTTTTTCCCTACTGACATCTTGCCAGAGCCACTTGTTAGGTTGCTGTGCTATCAAACTTCGATATATTTAGGTTGGAAATTAGAAGGTTTCTAACCATCAGAGGCCTGAGGTTCTGGAACAGCCTTCTAATGGCAATACAGCAGGCAAAAAAAAACAACCCCAAAACCAAAACTTTTAAATTGGAGCTTGATCAGTTTATGAAAGGGGTTATATTATGTGGTTACCAGTGGTAGGTAGCAAGGGACTGGACTTGGTCACTCAGGAGATAAATGCTGGTCCTCTGCTTCTGTGTTCCAATAGAGATTTAAGGCCCAAATTTAAAGAGGGACACAGCTCCTGACTTTCAGAGGACCTGAGAAGGTAGGGTATTAATATCATCAGTGTTAAAGTAATAACACACATCTCTGGCCCCATGGACTAAGCAGGTATTTGGGGAGCAAGTGCTGTTCCCCATTCTGCAGTGGCAAAGATTTGTTGGGACCTCATTTTTGGTTGGCAGAATATGCCAACCTGTGATTTGGGATTGTATTTTCAGTTTATTGTTATCCAGGCAGATAAAAAATCCTGAACTCCAGGCATTTAAAACCACTGAAAATCCAGTACAGGATGCCCACTGTTAAATAGGTATCATTGTTGGGGTCCAAGACCAAACTGCATTGACGTGTTACCAGTTTTTCTTACACATATCAGACTAGAAATACTTTCAGTAATTTCTCCCTTAGGATGTTCATTTTGCCCTTTGCAAAAGCTGTTCCACCAAACTGTTTCCCAAATGAAGTGAAGGACAAATTTAGGTTGGCTTCTGTTGCTGCATGCATGCTGAGTACACAATGTGACATTGGGGGTTATATTCTGAACTCATTTGCATTCATGTAAATCCAGAGTCACGCTGTGGATTTCAGCTTAAATTGCTCCAGGTTTCCTGCGGTGTCGTTGTGACCAGAGCTCAGTTTTTTATGTTGTTACGATGAGACGAATCTTTATGCTTCATGCAGATTCAATGCTAAGTTTTTTAACTTCCCTGTGTTGTCCCTTTCAGTCATTGGAAGTGGCCATCGGACAATTCGAAGTTCCGATGCTGAAATAAGGACATCTAGTTCTCCCGCGGCCAACATGGACAATCTGACCACATTGGGCTCAAGTGGCGAGAGGACTTTGCTATCTGTCACAAACAGCACAGTGCCCGCAGCTACAACAGAAAGCGTCATCTCTGACACTGAAAAAATCAGCTCTGTGCATTTGACGGAGCACTTCTCAGTAGACCAGAACAGAAGTAGTAATAGTTCTTCAAGTGACGCGGATGCCACGGAGCTTGGAGTTGTGCCTGTGGTTACACGTTCTTCCAAGACGCCAACGGACTCATCTGCCCAAAGTGAACATGAAGGTAGGTTTTATCCTTCATAAGTGCAGGAGGCTCAGTAAATCCCACCCAAGCCTCTGAAACAAATGCAAGCAACATTTTCTAAGGGACTCATGCTCAGTTGCTGGCACCTGGGCATATCTGTGTTACTGCTTATAGTAGGGCAGCTGCCATGTCTGCCCACACCAGCCACGTACATTGAAGCCTCCAGTTTGTCCACTGGACATGTCCCTGGGAGCTTTGCTGGAAGTTGAACTTCATTTTATTTCGCGCTCCCTGCACCACGTTCAGGACTTACCCTTGTCTGCAGGGACAAGAATAAGGCAGCAGCAATTCCACAGCTACCTGTGCCTGACGGCCAGCCCTTCTGCGTCCCACTTCTTGTCTTGACTGCTTGTAATTAATGCTGCGCACAGGGGGAGAGAGGAGGAGGAGGCAGGCTGATTCCTAGAAGTCTGCTCAAGAAATAGGAAGCATAGGCTGCTTGCAGATGTTAAAAAAATCCCAAAAGGTGCTTTACTTTAAACTCAGCGTGCTCCCACGCCGAGCCCACCACATGCCCAGAAAAAGCAACACGTTAACTGGACCCAGCTTGCCCAATGTCTGTAAAGAGCAAGTGCTTTAGCAGGGCTTTCTGGCACTTTTATCTAATAACTGATTAAATCAGATGTTAAATAAAAGCCCCAAAAAGCCCCACTGAAGCGCCTGTGCTATACAGATGCTACAGAGCCGGGTCGAAGTAACGCACTGCTTCTTTCGGTAAAGCGTGGGGTTTTTTTTTTAATGTCTGGAAGCCACTGTAATGTGCAGCAAACATTAGGTAACGTATGGGAGGAGTGGTTTGTGGGCTAGCTGCGGACTACCCTCGGGTTCAGCTCTAATTGACAGCAAGGGAATACACAAGTTTTCTGAGACAAGGATCTGAAATCCGTGGGCTGATTTGGATCCTTTTGTTCGTGGGCTCTTAAAAGAGATACTTGATATTCTTGACTAACCAGTAACCCAGTGGGAAGGAATCTTATTGTTTAATTTACATTTACTGTCTATTACTAAACTCATCCTTACCATCCAACATGGTGGCATTTCAGTGTAAACACTGCAGTAATTAATATCTTTGGTCTTTCAAGGCCTAATCCTTATTTTTACTTAGGCCTTTTACCCCACTCAGGCAATGTAATGGAGACTTAACACTAGTGAGACTTAAAGCTCATGAAAGTTTCATGTCATGGTTTCTTTCCAAAGCCCCTATCCCGAAAGTACCCGACTGCGTGCCTACCTTCACTGAAGCTCACAGGCTTGTTAGCTTTTGTGAGGTGGTGACTATGGCGAAAAATCAAGTGGTTTGCAAAATCGAGAGCACGCTCCCTCCTCTGCTGTATGTGCCTGCTGATTGCAGATTTGGCTTCAAAACTTTGCTTCATTCCCTTAAATCAGGGGCTGGCAAACTGTGACCAGGATCCAGATCTGGCCCATAGAGCTGTGAGGCTTTGGCAGCTTGCGGCAGCAAGGGCCTGTCTTGTGGTTGAATAGCAAGGAGCTTCACCCATGCCATGCCATGGCCAGGTGCCAGCAGCGGTGGCGGCAGCCCATCTTGGACTTGAGCTGTGTCATTCTGGCCCGCTGCTGCCTTAGATAAATAACATTGCACCGGTATACAGCATTAGGATTTGGCACGAGTTTTACGGTGAAACATTTTGGAAGAGAGAGAGACACAGTCCAGAACAGTGAATAGTCTTAAGGTTTCAGGGCTTTTACCTCAATTGTGGGACACTCAAATTCAGATCCCTCTTGGCCCACTTTGTAACTGGGTCTTTAACCTGGGCATCCTACCTCCCTGGTGAGAGTCCTAGACATTGAGTGATTGGCTATTTTGGAGTGTCTCTGGATCGCTTTCATGACTTTTCACAGAAAAGGTTAAGGGGCTCATTTCCAACCCACATGGGAACTGGGAACAGCTTTCCAGAACTCATTATCTTTCAATGATGAAAATATAGATATAGCAATATAGAAACATTGCTTTCCAGCCAGTCAAGTAATGTGGGAATCGTATTCACTTGTATGAGTCAAAACTGGCAGGTCTTTAAGGCTGCCATTGGAGGGGCAATTAGTGTGACAACAGTCGAGATCTTTTGACTTTTCCCGCTGGATTGTTAATTTTCTTGCTTTACATTTCAGACACTGGAAGTCGCCACCAGACCCTGAGCACCTGGCACGCTGAGAAAAGGACTTCTAGCTCTCATACTGAGAGCACGTATACTTCAGTTGCATTCAGCACAGGTGAAGACAGGACATTACAGTTGCTGACAAATAGCAGTGTTTTAGCTGATATGCTACCAGGTTCTGGTTTTCACACAGAAATCCCAGTGTCTTCAGCTCTTACCCACCGTTCCTCTTCGGTATCACAGGCTGGAGCGTCAGATACCCCTGATTTCTCAACAGGGTCTTTGCTTACGCAACCCTCTTTGAAAACTCGTCTTCCAGGTGAGCTTTGTAGTCAATAAAGTTGGCACTTCGTAGTAAATGTCACTTGAAATGTAGTGCTAATACTTGGCATCTAGCTATTTGCTGTTGAAAAACTGGAGGGTGTACAGAGCCAAGCCACAAGAATGATTTGAGGGCTGTAAAATAGGCTTTGCAATAAGAGGTTCAGATACCTGCCAGAAGATGGCTTGTTTAGTTTAGTAGGCAAAGACTTAACAGGATCCAGTAGCTGGAAAGGTGAGACTTCACATGTCCAAACTGGACATCAGGTGCCCTTTGCATGAGTGAACATAACCAACTGCTGAAGCCACCAGCCTTGGGATGTGCTAGATAGCTAGAAATCTTTAAATTGGGGTAGGTTGTGTGCTCCAGATCAGCCATGGTGGGTATTGATACAGGGATCACAGGGCACACCTCTGAGACTTGTGTTCAGTAGTTCACACTAGGGTCACTCCTGCACTCAAAAGCCATGAACTGGTTTTAGAGTAACTCTCATCCCTCAACTTTGCAGAGCTTCATAAGGGTAAATCTCGGTGTTCCAGTTTTATAGGCAGAAAAACAGAGGTGATAAAATGATTTGTCAGAGATGAGAAAACCAGATACTAGAAGAGTCAGGAGTCAATCCCGTAGGAACATGGGTCTCTGGGCTCCAAGTGATGGTGCCTATTCAGTGCAACCAACACTTCTTCAATGCATTGTGTCCTTTGGTCAATAATTCTTGCTAAAGGCTATTCTAGCTTTTATATGGCAACGGTGGGTTGGTTTTAGTTTGTTTTTAAGGATCCAGTTGTTCTTGCAGATTTTTAATGTTCCCTTAGTGTTTCTTGGCTAAGTGACTGTAGTGAACAGAGTGCTGTCACTTGTATTGGGCACTTGGCGCATTTGACTCATGCACTTTAGGATGGGGTGGGCAAAGTCTGGCCCACGAGCCACATCAGGTCCACAGCAGACTCTGTTTCCCAGCAGCCCCAGCCCATGTTGCTCTGGCCGGTTTCCATAGAAACCCCAGGAGCGGCAGGGCGGTAACGGCGTGGGTCCAGGGTCTCGGTGGAGACAGGCCCGAGGGGGGATGGCAGGATGTGCACTTTTTGCAGCTGAGCAGGGGCGCCAGCCAGATCTGCCATTTTGCACACCCCTGTTTTAGAAAGTCCCTTGATCTCAACCTCTGAGTCTTGCTGAACCCGATTGCAAGCATGCCATGACACTTGCATTATTTACTGCGCTATTCTGAAAGTGTCAAACAAGTAGTTGCCCCCTCCAAGACAGATCGGGGTCCTTCCCAAGTTGCTTCCAGTCCGGGGGCCCATCAAGCTGGTCTGCACTCACTGGATCCCTGGGATACAAGCTGGGCTCCGCGCTGGTAAAAGGGGCCATCTACATAGCTCCAGTTGCAAGGCTGGGTACTCCATCGACAGCGTAGAGACAGGCAGGGTAGAGATCAAAGGGGAAAACAAAAAGACTGCAACATATAGTGCGCAATTCAGTATGCATCGTTATTAGATCATTGATCTTTTTTTTGTCTACCCGTGACTTTCATCTTTGACATGTTTTCAGGCCATTCTTCTGTAGGCACCTGTCAATACTTTCAGGGTTTCCTGCATACAAATGTCTCGATCAATGCTTTCTTTCCATGGAATTATTTATTTTCTCGACATTGAAGTCTTTTATTTCCCGTCTCTTATGTGAATATGAATAGTTTCGGAAGAAAATTCCAGTACTGGTGTTTTGAAGTATGGAGGATGACATCTTAATATTTCTTTATTGGATTTCAGCTGCTGGAGGTCAAAAGCAGCCAGCCAGCCTCTCAGATACAGAGGGAAAGATTGCCAGTTCTCACGGTGACATTGCATACGTCGCAACTCCATCCCCGCGGGGTCTCCACGAGAGGACGTTACGATCATTAACAGACACCGGCAGCTCCACCTCTAGTGCTGAAATATCGAGCTCTTCAGATAGAACCGAGTCCTCGTCTATAATGTCTGTCCTGCAGATTGGTAGAAATAATAGCTCATTGGATGCCAGGGGTTTTACAGCGAATTCAACCGACCCTTTGCATAACGGTTCGCTCACTGCTACAGAAAGTGTTTCTGCTGGTGAGCTGGCTCGCTTCGCTAGTTTTTCTTTGTTTTTATTTAAAAAATGATTTACAGTATTAAAAAAAGATGGAAAATGTTTAATTTTTATTTTCAACTGTCGAAGGAATAATACCCCGCTTGATTTACATTGGCCTACTTTCCCCTATTTTTCAAAACATTTCACAAAGAGGTGAATGTGGTAAGTGCCATTATTAAGGATTGGCAAATATGGATGTGGACTTTGGGGAGGGAAATATTTTGGCTTTTCACCCAATTAAAAATTCTGTTTTCAGATTTAGGGGGTTTTTTTTAAACACGTAATTGAAGTTTGCCACCTGTTTTCACCAAAATGTTCTTGTGGTCAAAAATCCCAATTTTCCAGGGAAAACCCATCTTGACTACATTTTTTTTGATCCTCTCTTCTCTGAATTTCTACTTTACAGAGTAGGGATTAAAATAAAGTATGGAGAGATTTCCCACCCACCCCCACTTACACACTGAGGTTGGGTTGTAAATACAGCGTTCCCAGTTCCTGCCCTGTGTTTACCCATAGGAATATGCTGCTTCCTATGAATTGAATCTGGTTATCAGTAACTCCCACTGAAGGTCATGCTGAATTGCTTATGCTCTGTTCTTGCTATGCCATGTTTGTGGTTCTTGATCAGTTATTCTGGAGGAGTCCAGTATCCTCTGATTCTCTTGCCTTTGAACTGCACAGGTTGTGTAATAAGTTATTCAGCATGCTTATTCTGTCCAGTTGAATTCTTGTAGACGCCAGCAGCATGGACTTGAAACCATGGGACTGAATGGCGAACCGAAGCATACCGCCGGTTGATTCTGCAACTGCGGGGTTGTTATTTTTATTTACTTGCACTTTTTGTGTGCGTGCGTGTCGCTTTTTTGCTAACCGTAATTCCACGGGTTCCCAAATGTAAAAGATTCCTATTTTACTGGATTGACCTTCCACCCAAATCCCTGCTGGTGCTGTCTTCCTCCGAGTGCTGTCTGCACTGTTCTTATATTTCCAAATATAAAATTGAAATTGGTCTTTTGTCACGTTTTAGCTAGTGGAAGCGGCCACCGAGCAGTCAGAACATCAGCAACAGAAGAAAGGGTTCCTGATTCTGGTGTCACCGGTGCATCTGTCTCAGCAGCATCCCCCAGAACAGAGGCGAGGATGTTTCCGTCTCCAACGAGCAGCAACCAGCCTTCTCAATTAACACGCAGCTCCAGCTCTAGTGCTCAAATGCGCAGCGTGTCAGATGTAATCCAGTCCTCATCTGCGTCTCCTATAGCAGGAACTGCTGGAATAAATATTTCACCAGATGGCACAAATTTCAGCGAGCCCTCAACAGATCCTTCGCTTATGGATTTTCACTCTTCTTCAGAAAGCGCATCCACAGGTGAGCGTATCACTCCACCAGCTTGCTGATTTATTATAAATATTTTTTTTTTTTACAAAATTTCCCCGCCGTCACTCTTCAAAGCTGGGATTTGAACGTATGCATCCCTTCCGGGTTCTGTCCTAGGCCGTGCCCATGGGATCAGGTTGCTTCCCATGAATGGAGGTCAGCAATTCCCACTTACGGTGATGCTGAACTTCTGTTGCTCTCGCAGATACCTGACGTAATGTTTGTGGTTCTTGATCATCTGGGCCGGCGAAGGAATCCAATATCCACAGAGCTAATACCTCTGAGTCATACACTTTTTAAGAAAGGTCTCTTATTCAGTCTTCCAGCCACTCTGAATTGAATTCCAGGCATTTCTAAAGTCTTACGATTCCTGTGAGTGCCAACAGCAGCGCGGAGTGCAAAGCTCCCGAACTGATCGGGGAAGCTAAGCATATCTTTTTTGCGATCTGTAATCCATATGTTCCCCAATATAATCGGTTCATATCTTTCCAAATGAGCATTTTCCTCAGCCTGAAAAGTTCTTGTAATTGATATCCACACTAGTGCTGTCTGCTGGCGGTGTTACCGGGAGGAAACCCATCCGTTTATTTTTTTTGCCTAAGATATTGAAAATTTGTCTTTGTCTTATGTTAGCCAACAGAAGCAGCCACCAGCCATCTAGCATGTCTGCACTGGAAAAAAGGAGGACTTCCGACTATGATACCACCAGTACGTACCTTTCTACTACATTCACCGGCACTGGAGAAAGGACATTGCGATCTCTCCTGCACAGCAGCAAGCCTTTGTTTGCAACAGAGAGCTCCACCTCTAGTGCTGAAATGTCCAGCGCTTCAGATGTAATCCAGCCTTCATCTGTATCTGCTACAGACGAGACCCAGGGATTTAACATCTCCTCTCAGGCCCCAGGTTTCGTAGAGCGATCAACAGATTCCCATCCTCCGTCAGAAAGCGCTTCTCCAGGTGAGCATCTCAGCCCACCAGCTGCTAATTTTAGTGAAAAAAAATGCATTGTATACAACATATATAACTTTACTGTTTTGTTTTTTTTCAAATAAAGGAACACTAATATTATATTTTACACAAGCATGGCACTTTTCCGTAGGTCTCACACCATTTCTCAGTAGTGAAGGTATGGAGGGGCTTGTTAGAAAATGGGGTTAAAAGGGCAAAACTCTTCTTCTTTTTTTTTTTCTAAGTGTTTTCTAGTAGGTATGTCTGCTCCAGCCAGGGTCTGATTGCAGCTCATGGCTATGTACATGAGCTCACTGTAAGCTGTCTAGGTGAGTTCTGTGCTGCTGTGGCTACGTTGTTATTTGATGCAGACCTGATGCGCTTAATCAGTCTCAGGCACATGAAAACAAGCTACGTGTATAACTTTGACTGCAACTTAGACATAACTTTAGTTAGAGTTTTGCACAGAATTCCTATGAAAACTTTTCATTTGGGCAAAGCCCCGTTTTTCTACCAAAACCAGTTTTGACTGCAAAGTTTTTGACCATCTTTGGCTATGGTGTCTGACTCTAGTGCAGGGGTGGGCAAAATGCGGCCCGGGGGCTGAATGCAGCCCACCAGGCCGTTCTATCTGACCCATGGGGCTCCTAAAAAAATTAGAAAATTAATATTTATCTGCCCCTGGCTGCCTGTCTTGTGGCCCTCGATGGCTTGCCAAAACTCAGGAAGCGGCCCTCTGCCCAAAATAATTGCCTGCCCCTGCTCTAGTGTAACAACCTACGGGTGCCTATCCACGAGCAGGGAGGTTGCTTCGATGCGCTGTCATTCCAGTGCGTCAGACCAGACTCGATTAACCGAGTCTGCTGGAGACTGGCAATTACTGCGCTCCCGCAGCCTCTCGTGTCTTGTGTATCAGCGTCCCTGTGCTTCAAAAGGGCGGCAGGGCGCTGTATCTAAAACTTGCCAAACAAGCTTTAGATAAAGCGCCCCCACCGCCGTTTTGAAGCGCAGGGATGCTGATATAGGAGATGCGGCGACGCTTGAATTACAGCAGCTCTTGGAGCTGCTCTAATTAAAAGCACCTCCCCTCCACTCTCCAAGCACATGTATAAACATCCCATGGTACACAAAAGAGCTGTGGTGAGCAGTTTCTGCACAGTGCCATAGCAAAGTTGGGGTTTGAACTCAGGTTTGTTGAGTTCCTGCCCCGTGCTGTACTCTCTGGATTGTGCTGCTTCCCATGAACTAAGCGTAGTCATCAGTAATTCATGCTTAATGCCCCAAGAACTCATGTCCTTTGAGACGCAATATAAAGTTTGTGGTTCTTGGTCAGCTGTACAGATGTTCAATATTCACTGACCTCAGAATCCTGAGTCACATGTGGTTAAATATCTTGAGGTTATTTGGTATTGTATCCATACTATATTAGATTAAAAGCATTTCTGAAGCTTGTAATGTTTAACTGCTAGCAGCACAGAGTGCACAGCCACAGTAAAGTTAAACACCCAAGTCTTTGCTTTTAATTTGCTTTCATTGTCACTTTTGTTGGCTTTATTCTTTTTTTGCAAGCAATCCATTTTATGTGTTCCTGAATTATAAAATATTCAGGCTTTTTCTACAATACTGTTCTTTCTCCAGCTTGAAATCCTTCTGTATCTAATACCCATAGTTACACTGCCTGCATCTGGGCATTATTGGAAGGATACTCCTCCATCTGTTTATAATTTCATAAGCATAAACCAGTTTTTCTTTATGATATTTCAGAAAGTGAAAGCAGCCAGCACCCAACTAACATTTCAGTGATGGAGCAAAGGACTTCTGATCCTCATGCCACCAGCAGGGTTATTTCCACAGCATTCACCAGAGCTGGGGAGAAGACATTGCAATCTCTAACAAACAGCAGCCTGTCCCCCGATGCAGCACAAAACTCCGCTTCCAGCACTGACATACCCAGCTCTGCAGATGCCACTCAGACCTCCTCTATATCTGCTAGAGCAGAGACTCATGAAGGAAAAGTCACATTGGGAGTCACGGATTTCACTGCATCCTCAGCAGATCCCATGCCGACGCGCTTTCACCCTGATTCACAAGGTGCTTCTGCAGGTTAGTTGGTCAATCCATGTGCTTGGCGTTTTACAACTTTTGTAGGTTGTTTTTAAATCATTCTCATACAACATGCATATTTTTTCAAATAAAGGAAGATTAATATTGTATTTTATACTTCCGTTTTTCACAGCTCTGTAAGTATAGGCATTATATTCTGTTAGAGCACATTGGAGGTGGTTTCTATGCCAAACAGTTTCCACTTTGGGGCTAGCAGTAATTTCGGGTGCATGTGCGTCTTTGTGTTTGCATGCGCGTGCCCATGTGTGTATTTTCCATTAAAAGACAGACGGGCCTACACATACACACATATGAGCATGCAGGATTTAGCATTTTTTAAACTAGCACATTTGACAGTGAATATACTTGTATTTTAAGACTCCTACAAGCAATATCTGCACCTGGGTGTTTTTGGAAGATGAATCCATTTGACTTTAATTATATGGCATTATAAATGTTCTTCATCATGTTTCAGGCACTGGAAGCAGCCATCAATTAATTAACATCTCAAGTACAGAGAAAAAGTTTCCTGGGTCTCATACCACTAGCACATACATTTCAGCAGCCTCCACAAATGGCGGAGATAGGATGTTACGATCTGTAACAGAGAGCAACAGATCTGATGCAACACAAAGCTCCCCCTTCGGTGCTGAATTATCCAGCGCTGCAGATGTGACCCAGTCCTCATCTATGTCTTCTACAGCCCAGACTACAGGAATGAAGAATGCCTCATTCAATGCTACAGATCTCCCCCTGCTTACAGATTTCAGCCTTGCTTCAGAAAATGTTTCCACAGGTGAGAGGCTGAGACCATGTCTGTTGTTTTCCAGTGCTTTAAAGATTATTTAAAACATTCTTATACCAACTGCTCATTTTTATTAAAAAGAAAAAAAAGGGGAAATATCATGTGTTCTGGTTAAGTAGCACTTTCCTTTACATTTCAAAACATTTCCCAGCCATGCAATGGAAAATTTCAAGGCTGAAAACTTTTTGAGGTGTTGCTCTCAGCAGGTAGTTGCAAATTTCTACAGGCAACAGATGCAAATTGTGAATCTAGGAATTGTGTTTGTAGTACTTGGATATCAATTTTTGGAAGAGTCCAATATCAGTTGGTGCATATGTTTCTAAATTATTCAGCTTAGCGATTCTGCTGAATATAATTCCAAGCATTTTTGTAACTATATCATTTTTGTGTGCCGGCAGCATGGAGTGCAGAGGGAAAAGTTGAACATACAGCTTGTTGGTGCCACACATTTATTTTTCATGGCTTTTTCTCTCTTTTTTGGCAAGTATTAATTGTAAGTGTACCTGCATGACAAAGGTTATGTCGTAGCAAATTTGCTTTTTCTCCAGGCTGAAAACTTCCCATGATTTATATTTGTGGGTACTGGGCGTTACTGGGAGTAGACTCATCCATCTGTTTATAATTTCCCCATGCATAAAGCAGTTTTCCTTATTCTCTTTTAGTCTTTGGAAGCAGCCACCAGCCAGTTAGTATTTCAGATACAGAAACAAGGACTTCTGATTCTCCTATCACCAGGTCAGCAGCAATCACAAGAGATGTGGATTGGAGTTTGTCTCTAACAAACACCAGCACGTCTTCTGATGCGAGAGGAAGCTTTGTGCCTAGTACTGAAATGTTAGGCTCTTCAGAGCGGACGCAGGCTTCATCTATATCTTCTGTAACGCAGGCCCATGAAACTAATAGTCCGTTACATGCCACAGATTTCACAGACCTTTCATTGGATCCTTTGCTTACACATTCCCTCTCCACTCCAGAAAATACTTCAAGAGGTGAGCTGCTTTTTAATAGGTTTTAAATGATTTTGAAAGCTCTTCATAAACCAAATATTTTATTTTAAGTAAAGGACGGCTCTGATTATATTTTGCACCTCTGTGGTACTTGTTCCGTCGATCTCGAAGCATATTACAACTACATAAGCATGGTAAGTCTTGCTGTTAGAGACTGTTGGAGAGTGATGCTAGTTTTTCTTCCCCTGGAATATTTCCATTTTTCAATGAAAAAAAATAATATTTTGATGTTTTGTTTTTAAACATTGATCATACCCTTTCTAGATAATTTTTCCTGAACGTATTGAATGTTCATTTACTTGCACAATATTATTTGACTAAAAGTTTTCAGCCCTTTGCTCACTCTCATGGTTTTATAGGTAAAGGCCATACAATACAATAGAGACTGATTAAGTGATTTTTCCAAATGTCATACAGCAAAGCTGGGCTTGGATTATTTGCAAGCAAGCTAAGGAAGTACAGGGATGGATGAATGGACTATAAGGTGGATCATAAACGGACTGGATCCTTGGGCTCAAAGGGTAGTAGTCAGTCCTCAATGTCTAGTTAGAAGTCGGTATTGAGTGGATGCCCCAAGAGTCAGTCTTGGAGTCAATCTTTATCAACGACCTGGAAGATGGGATGGAGTGCACCCTCAATTAGTTTGCAGATTATACCAAGCTGGGCAGAGTAGAAGATAGGATGGAGGGCAGGGCTAGGATTCAGAGAGAATCTATAGTGGAAAAGGAATTCAGTCTTCAGTGATCCCGTATATTTTTAATCTGTCTCCCTTATGTAGTATTCTACCCCTCTGAAATTAAGTCCAGTCATTTCTATAGTTTGAATAACAGATGTAGGGACCAGTAGTATGGAGAGCAAAACCAGGGGGGCTGAATGGTGAAGTTAAATGTATAGCTCATTGATTCCACAGCTTGTTTTTCATGCACTTCTCATGTCTTTTACCACTTCTTTGCAAGAAGAATTCCGTCTATTCCACAATATCACTATTTCCAGATTGAAAACTTCTTAATTTTAATATCCCTATTTATGATGTCTGCATTTGGGTGGTATTGAAAGAAAACTCATCCATCTGTCTATAAGATCATATGCATAAAAATGTTTTTCTTTGTTATATTTCAGCCGCTGGAAGCAGCCATCAATCAATTAGTGTCTCGACTACTGAAGAAGGCACTTCTGGAGCTTCCACCACCAGTTTTTACATTTCAGCGACCTCCAACGGTGGCGAAGAAACGTTAAGGCCTCTAACCAACAGGAGCACTTTGACTGATACAATGGAAAGTCCCAGTTCTACTTCAACAAATACTGTCTTGACAGATCTAAGCCTGTCTTCATCTTCCTTAGCACAGTCTAAGGGAAGCAGTGTCCCGTCAGGGGAGGAGGACTTCACCCAACTTTCAACCAAGACTTTGCTCACACATCCTTCCAAGATCCCGAGTTATTCATCTTCATCAGCTAATCTTTCAGGTGGGCTTCAGGACTCCCAGCTTGTTATTGCACCTTATAAAAAGAAAATAATGCCCCCTTCTAAAAAGCTGAGTCAGTCCTTTTATTAAAGAATAAATTCCCCTTTAATAACTTAGACTCATTCCTGTGAGATGTAATCACGTGACCCTCATTGCCACCATATCCAAGTATCTCACGATCTTTAATGTGTTTGTCTTTGCAACACCCCTGTGGAGTAGGGAAGTGCTGTTATCCTTGTTCACCCATGGGGAATTTAGGCCCAAGCAATGTATGCCAGGCCACCGGGGAAGTCTGTGGCAGGACTTGAACCTTGGACCTCCAACATGACAAGCTGGTGCCCTACCTGCTGGACTCCTGTCTCTGTTTTGCACAGCCCTGAAGGTTTTAATCACATTAAAAAAACAGGCTCCTTTATTCTCCCCTATCTAGTGCCACCAGCATCTGCTTCCATTACACCTGTCCTGGTAGGTAGTAGCTTTCTTTTGGTGAATGGTTCCCAGAGTAAAACATTGCTCGGCATGAATAAGAGGGGAGATTGAGGCCTTCAGTGATTCTTGACCAGCTGGCAGGATTGGACCAGGCATGCAATCCTGGTGGTTAAAATCTACACAGTACCTGTAAAGATGTCTCTAGGCTTTGAACTCTAGTTCCCATGTCGACTAGTTGTAATTACAAACTTCCCTTTAGTGTCACCGTTCCCACGCTTGTTGAGCTGCTTTTTAGAGAAAGCTGCCAATACCTCTAAGGGTTCTTGAGTTAAAAAGCTCAACATCTCTCCCACGCTGAGCTTTGCTCGCACATGGGGAAGGGAGACTGCCAGGAAGAAAAGTTCAACTTCCTGAGTTCTCATGGGGAATTTGCATTGGGCCTGGCATGGTAGCAGAAGGTAGAATAGCTTTAGGGCTGCTCTAACTTGTGTCTCCTTGTGGGAATTTTCGTCCTCTTGGGAATAGATGCAGTTTAGACATTCACTGCCACCTCCCTAGCCTAATGCGGCTCCAGTGATCTGCCTTCTCGGTTATGAGTGAGACAGTTGGCACAGAAGTTCGCTAAGTGTGCTGACTGCTTCCCTATGTCAGGAGAATTTTCTCCGGGGCCAGGTTTCATCACTGCCCCTTTTTTTCTCCTCTGGAATAATCATAAACATTTAAGCCACATGTTTCAATAGGTTGTATAATACATAGGTCAGTGCATGGGGGTTATTGCTAACATAGCTACTGTTCCAGATGTGCATATAGATTTTTTTCAGCCATCAGAACCCATTGAATAATATGTATGTGTAATATACAGTTTCAGACGGAGGAAGAAAGATTTCCAGTTCCCCTACGGAGAGTACATACATCTCAACCACATTCAGCAGAGGTGTGGAAAGGACACCCCAGTCTGGAACGAACAGCAGCATAGCCACGGAGACAACAGAGACTTCTGCTACTGATACGGATACGGCCAAGTATTCAGATTCAACCCGATTCTCACCTTCAGAAGTGCAGACTGAAGGAAGGAATTCTTCATCAAGGGATGATGCGCGTCTCACTGAGCCTTCAACTAAGTCTTTGCGGCCATATTTTTCCAAGGCCTCAACTTATTCCTCTGAAACTGAGGATCCCTCCAGTGAGTTTCCTGAACTCAGCAATCACATTTTGATCAGGGGAACATTCTCTCCCTCTTCCCCATTGTGGATCTGTTATGACCAGCAAGTTCAAAGCTAGTGCATTTGCCGGCAGTGGTATTAATAAGCCCTAATGCAGTAATCCCCAATGCATGGGCTCCAGACTCTCTCATATTGCATAGGGCCACAAGAAATTTTGCTTTTCCCACATGCATATTTGTTCAGGTTGACAGGGAGAGCAAAGTTGGATGTTGCCTGCAGCATGCTACTCGCTCACTAGAATTGTCTGTGGGCCAGCAAAGGTTGGGAACTTGACCGCTGCTGGAACAGGTCTGTTCTTTCATATCAATGTGCAGCGGTTGGTATGGACTAGAAAGCTAGCAAAGCAGAAGAGTAGATGGTATCTTTTTACTGTAGGAAAATGTTTATCTCCCCATAGCTTTGGCTTATACTTTAATAATTGTAAAGCAACATTACAATGTTAATGACACTCAGTGTGTCTATACTTTTCCTCTTTAGAGGAGCCTGCTGAGGAAGGTCCTGATCAATGGACACTTGGGCATTTTTATGCGTGCTCCGGGGGTAGGGGGTGGCACTTTAATTAAAGCGGCTCAGAGCTACTCTAATTAAAGCGCCTGCAGCGTCTTGTGTATCAGCATCCCCATGCTTCAAAGTGGCGATGGGGGTGCTTTAAAGCTCATCGAACGAGCTTTAAAGTGTCCCTATCAGCATTTTGAAGTGTGAGGATGATGATACACAAGGCATGGAGGCTGCAGGAGCGTACTAATCAGCTAATTAGATTAATTGAGGCTTTTTTGACGTGCTGTATTTACAGTATGTCAGAGCAGCCTCCCCGCATGTCTACAGGCACTCTTAAATAGATAGAGTTGCATGTGGGATTTAGTCTGACCTTATTTTTTCAGCTGAAAACTGGTGCAGAACTCTCAAACGCCATTTGATCTGGAAATAAAAACAATAATTTCTACTTTTTCATCCCATTTCAGCGACTGGAAGAAGCCATCAGTCACTTGGCGGCTCAAGTACAGAAGAAAGGATTTCCCGTCCTTATACTGACAGCACGTATGCTTCTGCTACATTAACCAAAAGTGAAGAAAGGACATCACAGCCTCTTACAAATAGCACATCTGCCCATACAACAGAGCGCCCCACTTCCTATACAAAAACTGCCAATTCTTCAGAATTATTTCAGTTGTTTTCAGAGGTACAGACCAAAGAGATGAATGTTTCAGCAGATGACATGGGTTTAACTGGACTTTCCACTGAGACCTTGTTTACACATTCTTCCAAAATACCGACTTATTCGTCTTTCCAGAACGATGCTTCAAGTAAGCTTTTTGTATATACGTTTCCTCATGAATAGGTGTCTTGTATACTAATGTCTCATCGGTCCATTAAGTACCATGCACATAAAAATGGCTCTACATACCCCACTTCGGTCAAGAGTAGTGGGGAAAGAGGAAAGTTCCAACTTGTAAAAGGACCTTTCCAAAAAAATAGCCATGCAGCATGCTAAGATCATTAACGCCTGGAGCGGGAGTTCTTGGTTAGGTTGCAGTAATAGGAGATCCTCATTTTGAGGGATATGCTGTTTGTTTGCATCCTGGCATATTAGTTATGGGGAAGATTTTCAAAAGAAGTCCATGCTGGCCTGACTCGGATCCAAGTGAAGTGAATGGAAGCTCTGGGGGCTGTTGAAATTTCCGTCCTATGGGTTTAAGGATGTTGATAAAGTCACTATAAAAAGTGAAATGCATTAATTCATAAGATGAATTATATCTTAAAAACATCTATTTATTTGCATATTTGGGAGTACCTGATTTATGAAGTCCTTGATCAATTATTCCTTTATATGGCATTATTTTGTTTTGCACACACTAACTTAAAGCAATGCCCATGAAAATATGTTCTTCTTATGGAGGCCTGAAGATTGTCCTAAACCAAAACAGATCAGTCCCTGAAGATTGGTATTATTTAATTTGGAACAGAGGAAGAGAGTATACCTTAAGTATATCTTAAGCATACCACAGTCTTACAGGATAAATTATGAATCGGGAAAAGGACAAATGGGTTTACCTGCTCAGCTTCCATAAAATGCAAGAAAAGTGAACCCAGTGATCACATCATATTAAAAGGCAATGTGTTTTATTGGGACACAGTTACTATGTGGGACTCAGTGCTGCAAGAGTTGGAGATTAAAATTTGAGAAAGTGATAAAAAATTACAACTTGACTGTCATCCCATAGTTACCTTTGCAAAATGTATTGCATGCTAACATCTAGAGTTTACTGGCAGATCACCACCGTATAAATTGGTGTCGTGGATGGACTAATATGCAGACTGGTAATTTTTATGAATCAGACTAATTATTTGAATAAAAGGGCAATATTGTTTGATATAGATCACCACCAGTTTAATTAATCTTTATTTTTCATTCTAGGTATTGCAAGTAGCCATCAGCCAATCAGTGGCACTGACACAGAAAAACGGACCTCTGCTTCTCGAACGGACAGCATGTACATTTCAACCACATTCAGCAGAGGCGGGGAAAGGACGTTACTATCTATAGCAAGTAACAGCACTTCTACGGACTCGTCAGAAAGTTCCACTTTCTTTACAGAATCTTCCAACTCTTCCAGCATATCCCAGGCCTCATCGGTGTCACAGAGTAGAGAAAATAATGTATCATCAAGTGATGGGACCATCACGGAGCCCTCTACAGAACCTTTACTCGTTTATTCTTCTAAAATTCCAACTTACTCTTCAACAGGCAGGATACAAAATACAACCCTGTCTTATACTGGCTCTGAATCATCACCAACTGGCAGCTCATCGTTATCTTCATCCGGGTTTCAATCTTCTGCCTCGGTGTCTTCATTCTATCAATCACCGTCATCAACACCAGCACCCCCTCCTTTGTTCACAACATCACAATCATCTCTACCGCCGACTTGGTCAGTCTTGCCATCAACATCGCCTCCACCTCCCCCTTCATCATCTTTACCTACTTCCTCACCAGTCACAGCATCATCATCAATATCATTCTCATCGCCTTCGTTCTCTTCACAATCTTCATCAGTACACTCCAATGACAGCTCTCAAACCAGTGCGTCCGTGGTTACAACAGAAGTGACAGACGGGAGGGAGCCATCCACGGCTGTGTTTTCTGGGAGTTTGCCCGGAGAATACAACAATCACAGTAGACCATACCCGTTGAAGGAAAGCACTGGCTTCAGCTCGACAGAATCGCCTCCCTTTTCAACTACACCCACGGAGCAGCTTGCTAACCACTCATCATTCATGCCAACTTCCTCGCTTGTGACAGAGAGCACCGCGGGGGCAGCCTCCGTTGCCACAGGGGACAGTTTTGAAAAGACAACTTTGGTTTTGACAACCGTGAGTCTGAGCATGGGTACGGAGATGGCAAACGAATCAACCACTACCTTGCCAAGTCCAACAAGTCGGAAGGAAGACTTCCCCGTCGTGGAATTAACAACAGAGAAATCCAGCACTGTGACAGCACGTACAACTCTTGGGCCGACTACGGGTCATTCGGCTACTACAGAAGTCCAGACAGTTCAAACTGGTGCACCCACAAAGTTGGCCTCCGTCACTGGAATAACTACAGAAGCGATGGAAGTTAGCACCGCAGCTAGTATTAAACTCACCAAAGAAAGTATCCCGGCTACTCATTTTTCCGAAACAACTTCTATTAGCAAAGCCACTACTGGGTTTCCTAGTACTTTGACAGCTGCTACCAAGCCAACTACTGTTGTTTTAACTACCACAACAGTGACATCTTCTCATACAACAGGTAAAGCATCTAAAGTGCTACATAGAAACCCGTCATATAGAATAAATATTTGCATCAAGCGCAGCCCTGATACAAGCACCAGTGCCTAGTTAGGTGCTTAATTCCCTTTTCAGACCTGGGCCTTAGTCTTTATTACCTGGATTTTTAAGCATTTGATACAAAAGGCAAGGCTTTAATAGTAGTCTTCTTATGCAGAGCTGCTTGAAAAAATGCTGAACGTTTTGGTGGAAATGTAGCAAAAGCTTCAGTGACAACATTCAGCTGAAATTGTGAAAATGCAAAAAAGTTCTCTTTATTAATTGAGAATCAGTGGTTTTTAACTCCTCTTTACAAATAGAAATAGTTCACATTTTCTGGCATACCACCTGCCCCCAAGTAGGACATACATTTGGGAAGACAGAATGAAGAAATAAAACTCTTTTGCACATGGAGCAGGGACAGAGCCTACTCTTCAGGTCACTTGTCCTCCTTTTCCTGCTCATGCCAAAAGAGAAATATTACCGTTTTAACCCCTTCACAGCTGCTGTCAAATTGGCTAATCTGCCAGAAGCTACTGCCAGTTCACAAGTGACTGTAAAAAGGATTAAAACTGTAACAGCTGCTTCCCCTCCTTCCATGCCACCAGCTGTGGTGAGGAGGGAGTAGAAGAAGCAGAAGCCATTATGGGGGCTGTTCAGACAGAAAAACGGTTTCACTCTAGAAGACATGCATCCCAGTTTTGGAGGGCTATGTTTTTGGGGAGAAGTATGTGTGGTATGTGAGTAAATATGCTATGTTTGTCCATGAGAAAAGTCAGTTAGTTAGCCATTGGTATGCATGTTGGAATGTGTCCTGATATTAGACCTACAATCACTTTCTATCTTGCTAAATAATCTCTCTTCAAAGAGCTGCCACTTCTTGTTAGGTACGTTTAGGCCACATACCTTGTCTTTGCTGTCTATACCTACAGCCAGTATTGAAAGGAAGTTGGGAAACGTTTAGGCAAAATTTCTGCGTTGATTGTTATTGCTTATAGTTCCAGAACATGGGATAACAAATGGTATTAGAAGTGGGAATAGTGTAAAAAAATTTGCCTCACAAAACCCGAATGCGTCATTTGGCCAAAGCAGGCATCTCCACACTTTGCTAAAGGAAAGCTCTTTCTAGGAATGAGTTACTCATCTTTGCGGGGTTGAGGAAAGGTAGCTGGGGCTAAGTGTGCATTGCACTGGAAGGAGGATGTGAAGGTGTTGGTATAACAAAAAGACTGCAGGATGAATGATTTAATTTCCCCCTCTTGTCAATCTCCTCATCTTCACAAGTAAGTCTGTTCAGTAAAGTATTTTACCAGAATGGAAACACAGTCCATAATTCAAGTCAAAGGTACTGAGCAAAGCACTACAAGGTGCAGCATTTACTAATTTCATTAGTCCCATTCATGTCAGCGGATTGCTTTCATCAGCACCACGTAGAGTAGTAAGTATTGACGAAACTGGTCTCTAAGGCCAGGGACAAATGTGCCCTTTAAAGGCTTTAAAAAGGGAGGGGAAGCTGGTGTTATGCTCTAGCTTTTACATCTGCATCATCCTCTAGTGATACAGGTTAGATAAATCACCCTAACTTTGACGCATGGAGCCTACAGATGTTCAGGGCCCCATTCTAAGTCAGAGTGCCGAGTTACAGCCCTTCCTCCTCAGATGTTTGCCTGTTGGGTCTGGGGGTGTGGAGTGGGGGCTGGAGCCAGCCTACACAGCCCTGGTCAGCAGGTGGGGTGCTGCAAGGAGGCTGCCAAATTGTCTCATTCTCTGCCCCACCCCGCCTCCCCCAGCTCCAGGGCTGTCAGCGGGGGAAAGGGAAGAGGAGGGAGTAGCCAGCACTGAGCTATGGCTGCTTTTGAATGGCCCCCTTGACTCGTAGGCCCAGCCTGGCTCCCCCAGTACCCCAGTCAGAGTAGCTGAGAGGAGCCCATGGGGCGAAGGAGCTCCATTTCACCCTGCCCCCCCTCGCCTGCCACGTCTGGCCATTCAAAAGCAGCTGGCAGCTCCCTCCACTTGCCCCTCCCTCCCTCCCCGACAGCCCCGGGGACAGCTGCAAGCATCAGCCCACCGGCCTCCATGGGAAAAATTAACATTGGAGGGAGCACAAGATCCCTAAGGCGCTCTGCTTTAAAGCGCTTTCATTTAATACTTTATTTTACCAAGGTTAATTTTTTATGCACCTAGCCATTTTAAAAGTGCTCTTCAGCCAGGCACATGTGTTAAGTCACAGCTGTAGAGCGCTTTCAAGGGCTCAATAACATGAAGAATGTCAGCTGGGTGTCACAAGCACCCATGGTTAAAGCTTGGGCGGTTTTGTTCCGCTTGTAGCTCTGCAAAATCATGAAGATGTACCAGTTATATCATATCAGTGTCATTTGATACTCATGCAGTTCTTGCATTGTGTACCTTAAGACTGATTATCTTAATTACTAATGAATCTATACAAGGCTGGACCTGATGGTCTCACATGGTCCCTTCCAGCCCTAATGTCTATGAAATCTATGATGTCCTGTATTGGGAATATCATTATATATAGTTAAATATAGTTTCCTTTCATTGAGTGCTTCAAATTTTTGTTAACTTATTATTTTTCAAAAAGAGAGGTCTTGGCATGTACTGTAAGAAGGAAATACTTTGGGGGGACTTAGATTTCAGGCTTTGTACTCTGAATTTAAAAATTCTTTGCATTTCTGCAGTATCTTCCAGAGTGCATTATGGTGTTCAGAGATTTGTTTTGTAGCCGTATTGGTCTGAGAAAGAGATGCACAAAGCTCATGGGTCAGAGGCGATATCTTTTATTAGATCAACTAAATAGGAGCAAAAAAATTCCTTTGCCCTGGGGGCAGGGGCTTGCAGACTGGGGTCCTGGGCCCTGTAGGGCCCTGTCCAGCAGGGCTTTGGGTGGGAGGTGGGGGCACCAGCAAGGCTAGTGTTGGATGCTTCACCTGAAGTACTTGGAGGTCTGCTTGTCTCAGGTGCTGAACACCCACCACTCCAAATGCAACCATGCATGTGCAGTTGCTCTAACCAATCAAGTGTTTCAGGTTGGACACCCAAACTAGCGTCTTGTTTTGAACTGTTTGACCCACGTGACCTGTCTGAAACCACCGGATAAGTTTGTAACAAAACCAGAAATAATGCACTGGCATTCCTGATCCCCCTCTTCTGGGCTTTAACCTCAAAATGTGTCCTTCCTGCCTCCGTGTGTGGCATGGGCTCAGCAACAACCACACAGCAAGTCCGAGTCCCTCCATGTCAGCCCCATCACTTGCCTTGTAATCTAACTAGCCTATGCTATGTTCTACCCTTGAACACGTGTAATGCACGTTACTGTGTATTAATGCTAATGACAATAACATGCACAGTGCAAGGAGCATATGCAACCAGTGCAGAAAAGTCTTGTTCCTTTTTTAAGGGGTATTCTTTTTCCATAAGCATTTAAATTCTGAGTACGGCTTCAAGCCTTTGAAAATATACAACTATGGCCACACATTACAGGCAAATTTCAGTGCGAGTGTTCACCAGCCTGGCAAGGAGAAGACTGCAGCGCAGGTAAAGAACAACAGAATAGCCAAAAGTGCCGATATTTTATATCTGTAATAATACAAACAATGTGAAATGAAATGATCTGCCTTGCTTGAATAACTCTGGTTTACACAGCCCATGGAAGTAGTAGGGTTGGTATTTAGTGGACAGAACTGGAACCCTGGAGACCTGAGTTCGAGTCCTGGCTCTAACTGTCGCCTGCTGGATAACTTTTCACGAGCCATGTTATTTCTGTGTCTCACTTTCTTCACTAGCAAAGGTAATGAGACTGCTAACTCTTGTCAAGCACTCTGAGATGGAAAGTGCCATGTGAGAAGCTGGCATTATTTAACATGGGCCAAACTAAAGCCATTAAAACTTCAGAGTGAATGTGCATGAGAGACTTTTTTGCATTTATTCACTCAACCCCAGCAGAACAATCAAGACCTGGATAAATAATACATGGCAATGATGCAGTTAGTCATCCAGCAATGTACTGGGGGGCACATTGAGAAGCCAAGCAATGCTTTTCAGTCCTACTATTTATGATTGTAGCATTTTTTAATTTTACCAGCTATTATTTTTCTCTTTCGTCTTAGATGTGGACGAATGTCTTTCCAACCCATGCCCTGCCATGGCCACATGCAACAACACCCAGGGCTCCTTTGTCTGCAAATGTCCTCTTGGGTACCAGCTTGAGAAAGGAAAATGCAATTTAGGTAAGAGAGTTGGGAGTGCAACACAGTGGTAGGATTGTGCTGGCAGATTTAAGCTGGATGTGGTTCCACCTCAAAAACTGGTTGGGATTTTGGTCACCACACTCCAGGAAAGCTTTAGAAAAGAATGGAAAACTTATTACATGCTAAGAGCAGCAAACGTTGCCAGGATTTCAGGAATAAAATTGGAATGGGAGAAAATGCACACAGCATAGAATAAAGAAGACTTGGTGCAGAAGGGGAAAGGGAGATTTCTGTAGTCTACCAAGACTTTCAGGGTAATATTATAAATTTCCCTATAGAGAAAGTTAGACATAGTCGTTAGGTAATGAGTGCTGTACAAATAATGGCTTTTTTAGTTTAGTAGTTGCCCCAAAAGAATAAAAGAAATTCTGGGTCATCTCAAAGTGATTCATTCAGTACAAAATGAAACATTTTGTTTTCAGGGTATTTAACCCTTTTATTGCCCTTCTTTATTTCCCTTTTTATTTCTTTTTATAAAGTCAATTTAAAAACAAACTAAACATTTTTCCATTTTCTTTTCTTTTTGAAGAGGTGAAATGATTCACTGAATTTGAGCCAAGTTTGTTAATCGCTTTGGTCCTAGTGAGACTGCATTTTTTTAGCAAATTTAGTATTTGTTGAAAACATTTCACCCAGCTCTGTGTATAGTTCAGAAATCACTGCCCATGATACAGAAATAAAGTAAAACAGTATATGTTGCTTAAATAACCATGGTGCACATGGCTTATGGTTCATGGAAATAAGGCATGAACTTTGTATAAAGATCACTATTGTAGAACGCAGGGTGTTTAACAACATCTCGTGCCAGTGCAAAACAGTTTAGGATTGGAAATAGGATAGGAATAGGAAATAGGGAATAGTTCCCTTCTCAATTTATGCTAAAGAAATGTTAAGGTAGGGGGCATATACGTATCTTAATTGGAATTTAATGATAGTAGGGCTTATGCACAACTTCTTGCAAAAAGTCCCAAAGGAAATGTATTATTGCTATTACTGGATTTATACCTAGGTACCCATTGCTATAACACTTGGGGTTTCCCCAAGGAACCCAGCTGTACCCTGTCTAATTCATGAGACATGACAAGATAACAGCTTGGCTTGGTATGCCTGCACGTGATATTACTGACAACTTTGGTTCTTAATTTTAGTAAGAACATTTGTTGGTCAAGGTTCTCTGAAACTCAACACTACTCATGGGAAGTATTCTGATGTCCATCAAATCCAGGATGAAATCACAACGATGGTAAGTGTCCACATTGGCATGCAAGCTCATGCTATTCTGTCCTCATCTGTCCAATAGACCACGAGATGCAAAAGGTGTAAATCACGAGTTTATTGTTCTATCAGAGAAGCTTTGTGGCTTATGTACCATATTTACTGGAATAGAAGGTGACCCTGATTATAAGCCAACCCCTCCAATAATTAGATTTTATATATGGAAAATTTATAAATTTGTTATAATTTTCCAGGTACAGAATCTAATTATTGGAGATTTGGCACGAATTTGTCCCCCTCCAATTGCTACAGCAAGGAAAATAACTCTGGGGGCTCAAGTAGCCCTTTTGATTTTTGTTTCCCTCCAACTTTTGCCCTGGTAGCCCCTTCCCCCTCTCTTTACTGTCAGACCTGGCTCTTCCTCAGCACATGGAAGTGAGGAGCAAATTTGAAAACAGTACCCCTGAAATTAAACATGGATGTAGCAATTCCTTATAGTACCCAGAGACTTAGTTCATCCAGAATTGATGCATGTTACCTTTCTGGAAACTGCTGCAAGTTTTAGTACAGGTATTCCATAAATGCACTTTCAAACAACACTATGACACTGACTTGTATATAGTACAAAGTTTTTGGGGTTTTTTTTGCAAAAATATTTATTTCTCTCTAAATAAATAAATAAATAAATAACTCCACCTCCGACACTCTTGTGGTTCACTTGGCAGCTCAAAGCACACTAAAAACCCGTTACACAGTTCGTACCATGCAACCGCGCACCCTTGCCCTATCTCTATACCTGCACCCCCACCCACTGCCCTCCTCAGAGGGTCTACTCCTGAAAAGGTCTATGGCAGACCCTTCTCCACCAGATGTGGTCTGCCATTTCTTTCCCGTCATCCTTTTCTGTCTTCCTGTAGTACCAGTACGTTTCACTTAGTCCCATCTTAATACAGTCCTCGACTGTGGGCTCTGAGTGTCTTTTTATGAGCAGGTTCCTGGTTTTCCATAGTGCAGACCTGAAGCAGGAGATGAACTGGTTGAAGCGATCTGTTCGGGTCCCTAGCTGTCCGGTCAGGTGGTATGCATGATATTAGTCCAAAGCCGAGGCTTATGATTTACCACATCGTTCACTGGGCTGGGCCCCACCTGAGTCAACAGCATTTCAAGCCATGGTGACCCCACAGCTCAGCACTGCTCAGTATGTGTGTATCTGTGTGTGTATTTCCTCCACATACCTCCCATAAAGGAATTATGTGCTAATTAGCTCCCACTCATGACTCGAACCAGGTGTTTTTTTCATGATTCCTGGCATGCTCCAAAAATTTATCTGCAGATGAAGCACAGGGCAACTCAGCACGGCTTCATTTCATAGAGGGTGGGGCATACTGGTCATAGTCACAAGGCTAAGAGAGAAGGCGACAAAGGTATTCGGGGTGAACTGTTTGGGTTCCCTTTTTGTGATGTTTGCCAGGCATTTAAGGGTGATGATGAAGCAGAAATAATTGGAAAGAAAGGCACAGCTCAGCTGTGGAAGTGAAGAGGAAGTAAAAATGTATGCCATATTGTGGTTCACCATGACTTGCAAAAGAGTTGTGGTGAGAGTGCCTGCGCTTAAAGGGCACTGCTATGCATCTTATTCAGATGAGTTGCATTAACCTATCTTTACGGAAATACCATAATGATGGCTTTAGCCCAGGTAGTTTTATAGAAATGGTAGGGGAGATCCCCTTCTTCCTAGGCTTGAATGACTTGGTATAGTTGAGAGTGGAGACCTGTCCATTGCCTTGTGGGTGGGCAGCCCTGCAAAAGCCTACTATAGCCTGCCAATGGGAAGAACTCGGCTACACAATTTATGGTGATGGGGGATTGCTCTTGGGCTTTCCCTCTAGCTTGCTCCTTCAGCCTTTTGGCTATGACACTGGGGGGCATCTGAACTCCCAAGACCTACAGGCTGAGGCTTGCACATAGGATGCCTGCCATGGATTTGAGAGTATCTGAAGTCCCAGAATGATGAGGATACTTGGTAGCTCCACACAGACTTGAACAGTTGAGCTCTGCTCAGTTGATAGAATTCAAAACTGATTTGGCCCAGGGTATGAAATTAAAAAAAAATTAAAAGTAGGTTCACATCAGCAATACACCAGGGGAGGGTGTATTGCAGTACTTCCAGGCCCAGCTTGTTCCCTCCTGGGGAAGAAACTGTCCATTTTTTTAAGGTCCACCCACAAAAAAAGGTTCCCATCAGTATGTTTGCTTAGTGTGGGCCATATGTCTCATAGTCATGCTCAGTGTTGGCTGCATTTAATCAGCTACATAGTTGGTTTCCATTGCTGAGCATATGCTGCTTTTGGCAGTAGTTTAATAATAGACAATGTATTTAGTGAGGTTTCCTTGTATGTGATTATAAAACCAGGGGTTTTTTTCCCCATGCTAACTGGGGCGGTGGGGGCAGGAACACCTCATCTTGTATTCAAGTAAATATGGTATTTGTCTTTTTCTTTTCCATTGCAAGTATGCCTGATGCTAAAGACTGTAAAATGGTGTACCAGACCCTCCTGACTGAGTACATTTGTGTTAGGAGACAGACAAGGGAGTCGTCAGGGCAGAGAATCTTTTTGTTCTGTGTTTATTCAGTGCCTAACACAGTGGGGCTTGGGCTCCTAGGCATATATGATGATGAAGATATATAGGATAGTATAATATTACAAATATTTTATTAATATGAATACATATTCCATATATTAATCTATAATGTATAATATATTATACATCATATTAATATACTTATAATAGAAGTATATTATATAATATTATACATAGCTATATAGTATAGTATAGTGTTATGCATACATATATATAGTATAGTATAATATTATATTACTACTAATAATAATTTGCAGAAGAGCACAGATATCTGTCATATTTGGCGATCTGCATCCAGCCCAGTAATACGGATGGTCAGGTCAATCCATTCAAAGGTGTCCAGCTTTTTGGAAAGGCAAAAACCATTGCTGATTACTGACCTGGGGAGCCAGCATCGCTACTGAGATACAGAACAAAAAAGAAGCCCTTTCCTCTCTCTTGTTTTATGTGGAATTTATGTTATTAGCTTCCTTCTTTCCCCTTTAGGGGATGGGTTGCTCAGGCAGGAAATAAACAGAGCTGATATTTATCTGCATATTTCCTGTACTGCCATGCCTTGAAACCATCCCTAGAAAGGTTCTGTTTTAGGAAAGCTTGAAGGAGTTAGGCTAAGGTTGTAGTTGGGCATGATCCTGCTTTAATCAGGGGGTTGGACTAGATGATCTCCTGAGGTCCTTTCCAACTCTAATTTTCTATGATTCCGTACCGAAGTCCCTGCAGAAAGTTCACAGGGCAATGGGGCTTGTCTTCATGGACAGGCTGAAGTACCATCTCCCCTTCCTGTTGCTGTCTTATTATACTGCATTTTCCCAGCGTAAGGTTTTAAAAAGCTTTAGGGTGACTCTGGAGTCAAGCCCAGGAGCAATATGCTGGCTTCCCCCAGATTCAGCAGCAAATTTCACACATGTTCAACCTCATGTTCAAATTGTTTTGAAAAGATGACACATCACTCCTGCCAGGGACGGAGCTCCAGTCTCCCAGCTAATTTATTATCTTTGGAACATTTTATCAGCTCGTTAGTGGACTTTGGTTACCCCGGTTCACCATAACAGTTTATCAGACAAGGTGGTATGTCTGATGACGTTCAGAAAGCATCAGGGAGATGAAATTGCAACCACCCCGGACGTAGCAGGTCTCTATGCAAAATAAATGACTGAGTCTCTGACTGTTAGCGTGGGGCTGGAGCTTAGCAGGAGGCTCCTTGGTAGATGAGCAGCATCCAAGGGCATTGCTCTCCGCAGGGCTTTTGCCTCGCTATGTCATGGGCTGCTCAAAAGAGATGCTTGTAAGTGTTTACGCATATCTAGAGCGGCACAGCGACTTCATCCTTCCCTTGGTGACAGTGTGAAGACACCGCTTTGCAACTGCAATAGGAGGTTGTGGCTAAGTTCAGAGATCCCCGTTGAATTCACGTGCGGTAACAGATTGTCCATTCTTTTCTTCAGCTGAATGTCTCTCTCTCAACGCTGCCTGGCTACCACCACTCCATCGTTAAAGCTGTAAGGTAAGGGATGCAACAAAATATGTTCCCTGGGAATGAGTGAGAACCAACCTCTTTCTTCTCGGCAGCCTCAAAGCATGGGGCAGTGTGGGTCTGGATCCAACCTTGCAGTTTGAGGCAGTGTCTACAGCAGATTGATAGATAACATAGAGTTCATGCACCTAGAGGCCTGACCATGGGGCTGGGAGTTTGTACTACTCGTGGCTGTGCTACTGACTTGCTCTGTGGCTTTGGCTAAGTCACTTATAGCCTGTGATTTAGCAATCCCAGAGGTGCTGAGCAATCCCAGCGTGGGGGTCAGTTTTTAAAATCAGGCCCTTAATGTCCCTTGACCTGCCCTGCTCCAGCCCCTGTGAGTAATTCCTTCCACTGACTTCAGCACAAATCCTAGTATCCGGTTTAAGGCAGAATCGGGCCCTTTGGGTGTATGTTTATCATGTCCAGGGACCCGGGTTTTCTATTTCCCATGGAAAAAATGCAGATTTTCCTTTTTAAACAAGAAAAATGCGGATTTTTCAATTTAATGGAGAAACACACTTTCCACTTTTGCAAAGAGCTCTGTGCAGGCGGGCAGAGTTCCCGTCCGGGGGGAGGGGCAGGAGAACGGCTGTCAGACACAGGGTGTCATGTGTGTGCACACTCACACATGCACATGGCTGCCAGACAGCCTGGAGAGCAACTCCTGCAGGTAAGTCTGGTGGGGGGAGGAGGGATTGAGGCCCCCATAGGGAGGGAGGGAGAGAGTTGGGCTGGGTTTGGTGCCCAGTTGGGGCAGTGCATGGGTCTTGGGCTCGGGGCTCGAACGCATTGCCACAGGGCGGGGAGTGGGATGGGGCTATGGGCAGCTCATCTGGGGGGCAGGGCTGGCTCCCCATTGCTGCGTGCACTCCTGGGGAGAGTATGGGGGACACAGATTTGCACACGGGGCAGAGGTGAGCTTCCTGCTGCGGGCTCGGGCTCCCCGCCATGCTGCCTTCCCCCCGGGGTCTCCACAGCACAGCGGGCAGGACCTGGTGCAGCAGGGCAAAGTGGGGCCAGGCAGGGAAACTCCTTGCTACTGCAAACCCCATGCCACCCTTGCAAGGCGCCCCTTGCCCACCCAGTAGCAGCGGGGTTGGTGGTGCGGAGTTGTGCCCCTTGCTGCTGCCGGGCGGGCAGGGGGGGCCTTGCCATGGTGGTGCAGAGCTCCCAGTGGTGGCACTGAGCTTCCCCACCTGGCCCTGGGCTGTGGAGGCCCCGGGGGAGGGCAGCCTGATGGGGACCCCAAGCCTGCAGCGGCCAGTCTGCACCTACCCTCCTCATGGACTCCAGTCTGGCCATGCTGCCCACAGGGGAAGGGGAGCCAGGCTCCGCACAGCCACTGCCACCTCCCGCAGGCGGCAGCTGGGGCTTCACGCTGCTGCAGGGAGCAGGGGGCTGTGGACCCGGGTCCCTGGCCCCTTAGCCCTGGCAGCTGGGGGCCCCCTTCAGCAGAGCTGGGGGGATGTCGGGGGCTGTGGGTGGAGAGTGAGGGGCTGGGACCTGTGTCCTGCTGAGTGAAGGGGGCAGGGGGAGCTCTGATTTTTCATGATAAAACCCCCAAACCAAATACCCAAATTTATCAGTACCTAGAATTAATTTTATTACAGTGATTGAGGCACTGGTAGGCTTCTGCACTGCTTTAAAATTGTAAATGTATCAATAAAACATTGTGTCCCATTGATACCTCTCTATATGGTGGCATTTCATTTTAATCGCAGATTTGGGGGTTTTTAATCAGAGAATTTGCAATTTTTTTAAAATAAAAAAATGAGCAATTTTTAAACAGAGAGAACCAGGATCCGTGATCATGTCTATAGAGTGGGTTTAAAGACAGCACCAAGTTGGTATAGGAATGGATCAATCAATTGATGATTACCCAGTTCTTTCAATATGCGGTATCTCCTCTGGGTATTGCCCCTATTCATAATAGCAAGGTATGTGGACTATACTGACAGTGTAAAATGATCAAGGCTGTCTTTTTTTTGTGTGCGTCTGTCTGGCAGGGAGTCAAATTCTGTCCGTGTTTCAGTCCAAACCACCTTCTCGTTAGCCTCCAATGTGACGCTCAAGGACATTCGTACCAATTTACAAAACTATGCCAGAGCTTGCAAATCCACTCCTGAAACCTGCCATTTCATCTCAAGCCTTATGCAGCTGCACACAGGTAAATAACATCTGGATTCATCGTGACCAGGGTGGCAAACGATCAGTGTTTTATATGTCTTTATTCAACAACAACACCAAAAAGCAAAGGTGGCTTTCTGAAAAGCTCCTTTAAAATGTTTATAATTTAAATAGAAGTCATTTTAAAGCTTGTGAAGCATAAAAGGGAATGCAGATTTTCAAGTCTTATCTTAGGCACATATGTGAGAAATCTGCCTGTTTGTGAAAACGTGCCCTGAGTAGAAAAACATTACAGGACAGGATTGAGGTCACTGTGCCTGGTCCTTTCATCTCTGGGAGACGGCATTGAATCTGAGCCAGATGAGAGAACCACGGAGGCTTATTCTGATCGTGGGGTTTGAACCTCTCTGAATGATGCAAGTGGAGAGGAGCAGATGTGGGTCCCACTGAGATACAGAATCCTCCTGTCGGTTTGATTGCAGTGGATCTCGTCTACTTTAATTAGCGAGTCTGTTCACCATTGGACTTTCCCAGTTTTTCTAGTGACACATTCCACTGCAGAAAGTGAGTTTCTGTGCATAATTCTCCACCCACCAGCAGCAAACCTAGAATACAATGTTTGTCAAAGGACCCAAGTGAGAGATGCAAATCACTGTTCATGCAGGGACCCTCAAATGCCAAAGGATTCATTCCATCAAAGGAAATTATTTTTACTTCTCTGGGTACTTTATGACCGGTATAACAACAGGAATGAAGGGACCCTTAATTTTTTGAGTGCTTGGTGGTAACTTGAGGACGAAAAGGTGTGATATCCCATGAAATGAGTGGTGTTTAAAAGAGTGACTTCCATCAGACACTTCTGTCTCCAGAGCTTTGTGACGTTGCTCTAGACCACTGATTCTCAACCAGGGTGTCTTGGCATTGCAAGACCTGGGATGCATTGAGAACCTTTCAAGGGTGCCATGGGATGCCACAAAATACTAGCGCTATTAGTTATGCAAAAATTATTTGCAAGATAATGGATCGGTATTGACCTGGAAGGACGTGGGCAATGGGGTCCCGCAGGGCTTGGTCCTTGAAACGATACTCTTCAATGTCTTCATCGGTGACTTAGACGAGGGAGTGAAGTGTACTCTGTCCAAGTTTGCGGATGATACAAAGCTGTGGGAAGAAGTGGACACGCCGGAGGGCAGGGAACAACTACAAGCAGACCTGGACAGGTTGGACATATGGGCAGAAAACAATAGAATGCAAATCAACAAGGAGAAATGCAAAGTGTTGCACCTAGGGAGGAAAAATGTCCAGCACACCTACTGCCTAGGGAATGACCTGCTTGGTAGCGTGGAAGTGGAAAGGGATCTCAGAGTCCTAGTGGACTCCAAGGTGGACATGAGTCGTCAGTGTGACGGAGTCATCACCAAAGCTAACGGCACTTTATCGTGCATCAGCAGATGCATGACAAACAGATCCAAGGAGGTGATACTTCCCCTCTATCGGGCGCTGGTCAGACCGCAGTTGGAGTACTGCGTGCAATTTTGGGTGCAGCACTTCCAGAGGGATGCGGATAACCTGGAGAGGGTCCAGAGAAGGGCCACTCATATGGTTAAGGGCTTGCAGGCCAAGCCCTACGAGGAGAGACTAGGGCACCTGGACCTCTTCAGCCTCCGCAAGAGAAGGTTGAGAGGCGACCTTGTGGCTGCGCATAAGTTCATCACGGGGGCACAGAAGGGAATTGGTGAGGCTTTACTCACCAAGGCGCCCCTGGGGGTTACAAGAAATAATGGCCACAAGCTAGCAGAGAGCAAATTTAGACTGGACATTAGGAAGAACTTCTTCACAGTTCGAGTGGCCAAGGTCTGGAATGGGCTCCTGAGGGAGGTCTCTTTCCTGCCTATGCAGGGGGTCGGACTCGATGATCTATTGAGGTCCCTTCTGACCCTAACATCTATGAATCTATAAACCCGGAGATTTCAAATAGGACGGCAGTGTCAGAAACTTTCTGCTCTGTTGTGGCCGTTCTGAGTCCTGCACAGCAGAATTACTCTATTATTTTTCCATAGTCAGAAAAGAAAGGGAAGCTAAAAACCGCCATTTTCTGAGGGATGCCTTGAGTCCGAAAAGATTGAGACCACTCAAAAGTTGGAAAAACTTGCTGTTGGGTCCAAGTCTACAAGACAAACGAAAGAAAAATTGGTTTGGTCATTGGCAAATTAAACATAAAATTCAGAGAATGTTGTTACATGGATTTAACCCCCCCCTCCCTCCCAAAAAACCCAACCAAACAAACAAAAAACCCAAAGATAGACTAGATTAGAAAGAGGCCACAAGGCAATTATGGTCACCTAATTTCATCTTCTGCCTTGAGCAGGCCATAGCACTTCTTCATTGATTCCTGCATCCAGCTATAGGAAATGGTAATACTCGCTGTGTCAGGCCAGCTTTCCAAGTCTAGAGAGCAGCCTATTCTTTGGCTCCATTTCATTAAGTTCAGTTTTCTAAGTTCATGTCCAAAGGTAAATAGAATTAGCAGCAGCACAAGCTATTTTCTTACGTAAGAGACAAGATGCTACATTCAAAAGGGAAGTAAATGTTATGAGTTCAAACTGGGAGTTACACGGGGAAAACTTCACTCTAGCAACGATTATTTCTTTAGCAGGTGATCCAGCTTTCAGTAAGCAGCGCAGATTAGGGGGGACAGAAATATTTAATGTATTTAGGTCAGTTTTGCTGAATTGTGCATTTAAAAGCAACCCCTCCCCCCCTGCAAAATATCCCAATGCTTTCCGCATAGTCTACATGAAATGTTTCTTTTCCTTTAATTTAAGATGACTTTTTGTTTTGAAATGTCCTTCTAGTTTACTTACTAAAAAAGTGAAAAAGCTCAAAAATGAAACAAAGCGGTTTTTTTGGTCACAACAAAATGTTTTGGTTGGCTCCAAATAATTTTTTCAACTTTTTGATTTGACCTTTAATCAGTTTTTTTTTTAAATCGCAGAAGTGCCAGAAACCTGATAAATCCATTATTCTTATAGCTCTGACATCAGCGATTGTACAAGTAATAGCAACATTAGATAGCATGACTTTGTCTCCAAAATTATTAGTAAAAATTATTAGTAAAATTAGGAAAATTATTAGTAAAAAACGGGAAAAGCAATACCTGAGCTCAATGTGATACATGGGAAAAGCCCAATTATCAGTGTGCGTAACTGTTTACAGGGAAACGTATTGATCTTGTCCATGTCTTTATGGTAGCTGGCGGTTTATGTGAACAGAAAGACCCTGAATGCGACAAAGAAACTTCCGAATGCACAGATGTCGATGGCATTGCAGTCTGTAAGTGCAGAAACGGATACTTTAAATACAACAAGAAGGATCATTCCTGCAGAGGTATTGTTCTTTATGTATCCACATTTGCTCGGTTTCTGCTCCATTTTTTGGTTCTATTTGAAATGATTTTTCATGTCTGGATTATTTTTTTTAAATTTCTATTCATGCTAAGGAGCTCAACATTATGAATAAATATTAGCCGCTTAGATTTCCTCCGTTATGGTAGTTTGCCATTGAAATTGAAGATATAATCTCTCTCCCTGCAGTAATAATATTATCTCTTTCTGGAGCATGCTGTGCGAGTCAGAAGGAACCAGTGAAAAGACAAAAAAAAGAAAAAGAAAAAAAGGGGGTTGAAATGCCTGTGGCAAAAGTTCAGCAGCACAGAGCCGAGATGACATAGTGCAGCTATTTCTGTTTTGTCTGATCTCCAGGGGAAGGAAAGATAATTATTTGAAATTCGCAAGCTATATTTATGTATCCTTAATATTCTTAAATGACCAAGCAGCTGAGAAGGAGTGCAAATTTATTTTTAAAAGATCTTGTAATAAAAATGTAAGGACAGGAGCCAATATCATTTAACTACTGCTTCTACCACAAGATCTTACTCGCTGTATTTTAAATGAACTATAGTCAGTTTTGTCCCTGCTTCGCTCCAAGTATTTTTCACAGGATCATCAAAGCCCTTTGTTGCCTTATAGACTATTCAGTTATAGCCATCTGATTTTGGTAGGTTTTGATGTATATTCGTGCTACTAGCAGCAGCTGCCACGTGGTAGATATTGTGCAAATCTGTGGCAAGGCATGTTTCAAGTCAAGTCAAGTTTGAATGTTTCATACAGGGATTGTATGCAAATTTGTGGCAAGACATGTTTGAAGTCAAGTCAAGACGGTCAAAGAGAAGAACTGGCCAGGCTAGTGGGTTAATCATGTTTTGATCGTTCAGCGGTTTGTAGGTTCATTGTGGATGCCGAACCCTACTCAAGAGTCCTGGGTTTTAATCCTAGCTCAGCCCCTTCTCTTCAAGAAAGACACTGTACTACTGTTTCCCCTGCCCATCTTTGTCGTCAAGCTCTTTGGGATCAAAATGCGTCTGACTACATGTATACAATTCTGGGCACAAAGGGCCTCCAATCTCACCTGGGGAGTGTAGACACTCAACCTTGCCCTTGTAAGTTGGCCAAGTTCCAGTCAACGACGCAGTGGCTTTTCACACAGCGCTCCCCAATATAGTCAGGTTTGAATTAAGCTTAAAGTCATCCAATCTGTCCTCCCTGGAAAACATGTGATAATGTTTTCCTGTTTAGTTCTCATATGTGGAATGGGGTCATCAGCACCACTGGACTCTAACAAAGAAGAGGGAGAAGGAGAGAATGTGTTCAACCTACTTAAAAAAATACATGATATTTCTTTACTGCAATAGAATCATCCAAAAAAGTGGCTTTTCCCCCTTCCGCCCCCTGCCTCCCACACACAGAAGTTGTTTGTCAAATGATGCAGACTCCGGGAGTATGACAGGTTTGAGGAGAACAGCCGAGAGGCATGGTCTAGAGCTTAGGGTGCTAGCCAGTCATTGAAGTACTTCAGACAGATGGGATTATTTCATATTCAGTCTGTGAAATAAATATCTACTGGTGCATTCAATCAATTAGAAGGCTGCAACAGCGTGAGTGTATATCTCCATTGCACGGTGCCGTACGCTGCAGCGATATCTGTGCTAATTCGGGTACCCCAGCAGCTTAAGTCATGTGTCCCTGGAGCGCTACACAGGGTAACTCACCCTGCTGAGAAATGCAGTGTTTCAGATAGCCCAGCTAGCTCACGTATCTCTATGATGGGCTGCTTTGTGCGGTGCAGTCATACTTCCCTGCTGTTGGCTCCCTAATGCGATGGCCCTAGCCCCAAGTCACCACATTTTAGACAATATGAAGCCTCTGTGAGCTTGTAGATGGCCTCGGTGAAATTCACCCTAGGCCTTTCCAGGACATTGTACCAAGGAGATTTTACCTCCATGTTGTCAAGTTTAGGGAGGGGGGCGCTGGAAATCCATCTTCCATAAGGGGAGAATCCGATTTTCAAAAGAGCTCCTGGGTTGATTGTCAGTGTCTCGGCACTCAAAATTGGGGCTGCATTTTCAAAAGGCTCTGCTTCCATTTAGGCACCTCTACGTGGTTCAGATTTTTGAAATGGCTCCCTGCTTGATCGTCAGTGGCATTGTCAGACAAAGGCAGGGCATCATAGGCTGAACTCTTTTGAAAACTAGCCCTTATTTTTAGGTTCCTAAACAGGAACTGTTTGAACATCTGACCTTGGCTGTGGGTGCTGTCAGTCTGGCTCAGATGGATGCTGAATGCTCACTAGCGGTAATTCCGATTATAGTTTTCCCCACCATGGGAAATGGCTATTGTCCTATGCTACTGGGAATCCTTAAGAGGAAGCTGGGTGTGGTTTGGAGGATTAAAAGGGCAAGAGGGGTGTAGGAAGGAAATCGCAAGGGTGTGGTTATTGGAACAGCAGCCACAAAAAATACCACTCCTGGCTGTAGCTTCCTCAAGAAAACAGTGCTCCCAGTGCAGAACAGGGAAAGCCTCTCGAGCTCTTCATCCCAGCCAGAAGAGTCTTACCCCTCGAGCACTTCCTGGATGAGGGTGGCAAAGCTCGGAAACAAAAGGCAAAAAAAAAAAAAGAAAGAAAAGCAAAAAAAAAAAAAAAAAGACTGAAAGGCAAAAGAAGAATTGGAGTTGAAGGTCTTGCTTGGCTGCTCTAGGCCTTTAAGCCCCACAGATGAGATTTCTGAGTAGCCCGTGCCTGGTGAGAGCGGCAAGGTTAACTTGCCTGGGAGCGGGTTCAAAGGAGCGGAGGAGAGGGTGTAGGGACGGAAATCCGCACAAAGAGCTCTGCAGGTCTGCATTGCATTTAAAAAAAAAAAGCAAAAACCCAAAGACAAACTGAAATGATGTGTGTAGGACCTGACCCTGCCCCCTGCATATCAGTAAGTCCTGCCTGAGGTGCGTGTCCTGCAGGACTCTCTGTGCAGCCCCATGCCCCGGGACCCTAATCCGTGCCCACCTCTCTCGGCAGCAGAGGGATGCTAGGCCTGCGGCAACTGCTGTATCCATTTGTCTTTGGGGAGAGCAGCCAGGGAGAGAGCAGTGCTGTGGTCGAAGTGCCATTCTTGGCTCTCTGAACCGGGAGTATCGGGTGGAGACGAGGGTGGTTCCCTCTCCATTTGGCAGCTGTGTCAGAGCTGTTGGAGTACAGTGTCCTCTTCTGGTGCCCACAATTAAATGGAAAAGTGGTTTGAAAAGAGCCACAAGAACAATTGCCAGGCTTAGGAAACACGTCCGGCATTGAAAGAGCCAGAGCTCAGTCTGTTTAGCTTATTAAAGAGAGGTGAAGAGGTGACGTGATCGCAGTTCACAAGTACTGGCTGCGGAGAACAGCAATTCAGTAACAGAGAGCTCTCCAGCCTAGCAGGTGAAGGTCTAATGGGTGGAGGCTGCTGCTAAGCAAAGCGAGACTAAAAATAAGAGGCAGATTTTTAGCAGTGAAGGAATCGGTCAGTGCAGCACCCTACCAGGTGTGTTGGTGAAGTCTCCATTTGAAAAATGATGATCAGGCACCGCGACTGGATGTGAAGCCAGAACTAATGTGGGAGTTTTTGGCTTGTGTTGTGCAGGGGATCAGATTGGATGAGCCCATTGAACAATCTGTGAAGCTCTCAGTTGGTGTTATGAGATCTCTCTGCTGCAAAATCTCTCTTGATCTGTTATGATTTTGTCAGCATCCCTTAAACAAGCCGTGCAATTTCAGCCTCCCCCCCACTTTCTATGCCAAGCATCTCTGGACATTGAGATACAGGTTTATAAACAGATAGGTACTCACTGAGACAGTTAAATGCATTTTATAGAAGCAGGAAACAAAGATCCTGCCTTTGCTGCATTACTGCAGGTTAACAGTGACCTCCACTGGTCCGCTGCATTTATCACACCCAGCCGTTCTCCAGCTATATTACCAATTGTACATGCTTTATGTCCTCCTTTAAGGTAGTAGTCATAGTTGCACCCTGTTTACCCCAAAAGCTTAACCTTTCTATAAGAGCCTAACATTGTATCATTAGATCAGTCAAATTACAGGGGGTGAATACAACGTAGGAGCATAAGCACATAATGCATTTGGGCTTAGGAATGGATCGGTGTTGGTGGGTGGCTGCTTACTGCACTTCTTGGCAGATTGTAAGCTTTAACCTTAGAGACAGAGATGCTGTTTGATCTCTGCCTGGGCAGAGAGCTCGCTCCATGGGGCCTCACTGTAGGAAGGGAGAGCGATCTATAAAACACCAGGGAGGATCTGCAGACACGTGGCTAGTCATTGTTTAGCAGGGATGTTCAGGTATCAGGGCAGGGTGCTCATTGCTACCTCAAATGTAAATGTGTTAAACATAAAACAACTCTCCGTATATCTAAACCTGGTTTTATAAACCTTCTGATGGGCTATGGCAAAAAAGTAGAAGTCCTGTCCAGCTGCTATTGGAACGGGGTGTATATTTACTTTTTAATATATTATCATCGTTAGTATTGGACCAGAAACACAGTAGAGATTGTGCAGACTAGACTCTCTGTTCAGTAAGACCTCTGCAGAATAAGCACTACAAGTCATTGTATTCCTCATGCTATGGACACCTTTCAGTCCTGTCCAGTAGCTTCCCTACTTATTCCTGGGTTACTGTAGAGAAGGTAGGAAATGAGAATTTGAATCCCGCAGAAAATTCTATCATTCCAAAATGTATTTTCAAGCCTAATTAAAAAACAAAGCAATTTTTTAATGAATAATGGTTGTTTAAATAAATATTCACATTTATATAACAATATATTAATAATATATATTATTAATAATATATAACATATTAATAATATATTGATATATATATATTTGGTTATTTAATAACTGAGTATCAAACAAAATCATTTTAAACTAGAGGCCAAAGTTTCAGGGTGGAAACAGAATTTCCTAGAAATAGATATATTCTCCGAGAAGGTTCTGATGTTGCTGTAAAGATGTTGCCGGTGAAAATGGTAACCCCGGTCTACAGATTATCTACGGCTGAGTGCTCCTATTAAAGTCTGCTTTTGTTCTGAAAAGTTAAACACGTGATTAAGCGCGTTGTTGTGCCTAGTCCAAAGTCGGCCATACTTGTACAGTGCTTGCCGGGGGTCTGCTGGGTTCGTCGCGACCTTTGAAAACCTTCAAAGGAGCAAGAATGGCATGGGTGATGCTCAGCTCATTGGTACTAAGTGCCTGTGCTTTCGTTCTGCTGCAGGTGGCAGCAAATATATGTACCTCCTCCTTTATATGTGGCCTGTTGTCCACTTCACGGTGCACCTACTGACTCTGGTCCCACTCTTGCTGCTCACATTATGTATGAGCAGTCCTGGGTGCTTGTCACCTCAACAGAGAAAAATGCAGCTGCATCCACGCTGTGCTTTGAGTGGGCTAATTAGCATGGCTGAGCGTGGTGACTTTAGTATGTAGGCAAGGCCTAAGATGTCTTCAGCCTGGATTGCAATTGTTCTCTTTGCAACTTGTGAGGGACTGTACAGACATACAGACGGCGTACCCCCGAGGATGCTTATGGCCTTTCTCTTCATTTTTTTTCAGCTTGCGAAGATGGGTTCAAGCTAGAGAACGAGACCTGCGTAAGGTACAGTAGATGCCGTGACTTTCCTCCCATTTCCCCCCGCGAGTCCACTTTCCAAATTGCTACCGGAAAATGTAGCTACAGCAAAAGCTCTGATGTTTAAAACCCACTGTTCTTTTCTCTTGCAGCTGCCCATTTGGCTTGGGGGGATTCAACTGTGGAAACCGTAAGTATTGAGCTTCCTTTCAGGTTATTTCTGGGTGGGATCTTGTGAGCACGTCTCTCTCCTAGCAGTCATGCTGTGCCTACATAGTAAATGTAACGTGCTCTAGAGCAGTATCCCCGTGCATGCAGGGGTGCTGTGCAATACAGCTGCATCCACGCTGTGGTTTGAGTGGCCTGCATGGCATGGGCTGAGCATGGGGAGTTTACTATGTAGACGGTCTAATATGTTTTCAGCCTGCTTTGTTCTCCTCGTGATAAGCAGGGCCCAATTTTCTTTGGATCACTGCTATCAGTCATCACTCTTGACAAATTCTTGGCCTGTTTCCTAAAATAGAGCTCATGCCCAGGGCAAGGAAATTGGAGACCTAAATTTCATACCCTGGAACCAGCTATCATTTTTTTGTTCTGCATTAAAGCAGATGAGAAAACAGAAATTCTGTCCTGGGGGGAAATTGCAACATTTTAGGGAGGCAGGGGAAGGGCGCTAACAGATGCTATCTCAGGATGTTACTTTGAGGTAAATTGGTAGTTTTCATTTTACAAGTCTCTTGTGCTCATAAATACAGACTGTTCCAACGAGGGGATCTGTTGTTCCAAGTATAATAGTTCCTGTTTCCCCACTTTTTCCCAAAAAGACTCCCCAGCTCCAGGCAAATGAACTGAGCAAAATTTAACATGCTCCTCAGTCACATTTGAACAAAGGAGAGTCAGTCTTAATGCCTTTGCCTGCTGGACATACATATGCTCGCTTAAATATTTATAAATGTTGCCATTCTAAACATCTCCTGTATCTCTTCTGTACTTAGCATATCAGCTAATCACTGTGGTAATTGCGGCTGCTGGTGGTGGACTTCTGCTCATTCTGGGAATAGCGCTGATAATCACTTGCTGTAGGTAAGTGCCGGAAGCAAGACACTGGATCCTGCAAGGTTCATTTTAATTGACTTTGTGCTGTGCACCTAGACCAGACAGGATAAATGGGCAGATATTAAAACGTAATGTCAACAGGAGATTTAATGAAGACACAAAGGGATCCAGTGTGCTTACAGTTAAGGGGAAACGTTATCCCGCAGAAGGTAGTTCAAATAACTCTGAGTTGTGTTTATTGGAAGTGGTGGAGAAAATTAAAATCCAGGGGGTGACAATGGAAAAGCAACACCAGCTAATTTGGAAGAAGTGAGGGAAGACTGTTTGAGCGGGTTAGAAGCAGCTGCCTTGGCCTGGTCCCAAGTCCCAACCTCACCGCTCACATGTCACGTTCACGGCCATAACATGTGGGTCCTGCATAACGGGCTTCATACCTTACATGAAATGTAGGCCTCTGCACATCCATGCACGTGCTGTCTCTCGTTTGCACAGCAGAATGCCTCCCTCTTAAACCATGTCAAGGGAGGGAGGAAGAAAACCCGGCAATTCTGATTTCCACTCTAGCTCCTTGATAACCTTCAGTCCCTTGGGTAGACAATCCTTTAGCTGCTGTGCATGTATAGCATCACTGCCGTCTTCGGGGCACATTGTTGAACTGGAAACCGCTCCAGTTTGGAGAGTCTTATAAAGTCCTTTTGACTGGTGGGGATGCTTTGGTGCTCTTTTAAAATTCTCGTATTCAGACCAGCCGTGTAAAGTCTCCTGGGGGAAGTTTGGGGTGAGGAGTACACACGTACTCTGAGAGATGTGGACATAGTGAATCTGCAAGTGTGGATCTAAGGTTACTTTCAATTGAATCTGCTAATGCCAATGCATGTGTAGTTTTACTTGAAGTTTACAGTATATTCTCACTCGCTCTTACCCTGGGGGACTTCAAAAGGAGGCTAGACAATCAACTAGCCGGAGTCATTTGACCCCAGCACTCTTTTGGCAGGGGGTCGGACTTGATGATCTGCTCAGGTCCCTTCCAACCCTACCTACTATGAAACTATGAAACAACTATTCTGCTCCTGCCAGCCTGTCCTCAGTCTTTCCCACCTTGAGGTTGGAGTCATTTGGGACAAACGTAGCATATACCTGTGAGGCACATATGTTCATATGTACATACCTCGAGTAGCTTGATTCTCATATCTGGTCGAACGTGGATACTTTGCAGAGTTAGGTGCCTTACCCACCTGTGAAGAGGGGTTGTGAACTAGCTAGGGATATACACACAGCTGTATGCTGTGACTACAGATTCATCTATATCTGTATAGTCACAGCAAACAGCTGTGTTGACCACCGAGGTGCTCCAGCCGCTTCTTGTGGCTTCTGTTTCAAAGGGCACTGCTTTCCTGACCAGCTGCGTGGAAGCAATGATGAGCGGCACGCTTGGGAATAGCAACTCTCAGCAAACACCTGAGCAACTCATCTTTCATTGCAAACGAAGTGGCTTGTGAACCATCCGGATACAAATGATCCGGGTTTTACTATATTTCCTAAGAAAATTTTTCCTCCTCTTCAGTTAGGAAGCAGGCTAAACTCCTTAGATTCTTTCACAAATACAAAAAGGCAACAAGGTCAATTCTGCCTTTTAAACTTCCCTTCTCTCCTCCTTAAACAGAAAGAATAAAAATGACATAAGCAAACTCATCTTCAAGAGTGGGGATTTCCAAATGTCACCATATGCTGAGTACCCCAAGAACCCCCGAGGACCAGAGTGGGGAAGAGAGACAATAGAAATGCAAGAGAATGGAAGCACGAAGAACCTGTTGCAGATGACAGACGTCTATTATTCGGTATCTGGAACTGCGTTGTGTAGCCATCACGTGTAATAAAAGAACAAAGCAAGTGCCTTAGGTCATGAGTAGAGTGCGGGGAGCTTGGTGGGGAAAGCATATAATCCTGTGAATCATTACTCATGTAAATCAACCCTATAAAGTGCATGTGTTTATCACATGAGTCAAGGTAACAGGATCAGGTACATCTTCTGGAATGCCTTACTGTGGAGAGATTTTAGAGGGCAGAAAGAAAGATTTTTTTTTATTTGCATTTTTTTTGGCCAAATGACCTTTTCCCAGTGCCTGTTTATTGAGTCATATACAATTACGGGAAATAACCCAAGTGAAGAGTAGAGACTTAGAAATTAAGAGGAATTTCACAGACTTTTCTGAAAATTCTCTTTATGCCCAATGACGAGGAAAGGGAGTTTTGACAAGGTGGGTGAAACCAATTTTTCATAAGTACATTTTACGGTAACAAAGAGTCTCACAACAGGATCAAACAATGGTTTAATGCTACTCGATGGGCATGTCTACACATGAATATTAATGTGACGCAATAAACTCTGGTGCAGTTTGCTCTGGAATTTATTGCTCCTGGGTACAGCGTTTACACATGTGCCCAGGAGCACAATGTGTTGAGCTAGGGTGGCTCAGCCTTGGCTGGCAGGGAGCCCCAGGAGTCAGCTTACCAGCCTGGAGCTGCTCCGACCCGGCTCAATGTGCTGCGGGAGGGGCTGGGTGGAGCACGCGGTTAGAGAGCTCATGCCCTAGCCAGCCTGGTCACTGTCTACACGTGCATTGTGGTGAAGTAAATAACTCCACCGTAGGGTAGCACTTGTGTTGGGTAGCACTAACCTACAGCCAAGTGAATTAGTTTATTCTGGCCTTATAGCTCCACACGTGTAGATGGAGATGCTTTACTGCGGAGCTAAGTAGGTAACTCCACAATAAGTGTCTCATGTAGATGCCCCCAGAATGGGGAAATATCACAAAATCCACATTGTAGAAAACAAAGATCCTGTTAGACCCCAGTAGATAAAGTAGCTTACTTACAAAGGAGATGATCTGGTCCCATTGCCTGTGACAACAGGGGACTAGATCTGATGATATAGGAGCCTTCTCTGGTCCTGTTTTTCTGTGAAAGTTCAGCTGCTGCCATCTTCCTGGGCACACTAAGTAAGGCATCCCCACAGCTTATTGTGTAGATGTGCTTGTCGTCTTCATGTGCACAGCCCTTCCCTTTGCAGCAGCTTTCTTTGGTTGTGGAAGTGTTTCCCAAACTTCACCTATGTTCCTAGATTCTCTCCTGTCTTAGTTACTGATGCAAACGCTACTTAACCTGACGAAGGGTTTTTGAACCCGAAAGCTTGCTTAATAACTTTTCTCCAACTATTTGGGTTGGTCTAATAAAAGATATCAAATTCACCCAAGGAACCTTGTCTGACTATGTCCTTAGACCAACACGGCTACAATCTAAACCCCTGCAACGCTACTTAAGACATTTAAAACTAGACCGGACCAAAAAAAACCAAACCTAGACAATGCATAACTTCAATGACTGTGCTATGGTAGGGGATGCTGATTTAGAGATCATTATAAGGGCCATGACAATATTTGTAGCCCCTGAAATGACTGTACCATATATTTGCATACCATTTATGCAGAGGTCTGCAGCCAATGTAAAACAGCCTGTCTCCATTGAGTTCAGTTGAGCTATGCCAGAGTAGACCAGCTTGAGTGGCAAAACTTAAGGACGTTTATACATGTGCTTCGGGGCAGGGGGAAGGTGCTTTAGTTACAGCAGCTCCAAGAGCCACACTAATTAAAGTACTCTAGCATCTTGTGTATCAGCATCCTTGTGCTTAAAAAAAGCGGCAGGGGCACTTTAACTAAAGCTTGTCGAACGAGCTTTAGTTGAAACGGCCCCGCTGCCATGTTTCAGCGTGGGGACACTGATACACGAGACGCTGGAGTCTGCCGGAGTGCGGTCATTACCACGCTCCAGCAGACTCACTGCTCATGTATAGGCACCCTAAATGTCTCGTAATAAAATAACAAATGCCCAAAATCAATTCAAACTTGGACAGAAACCATAACAAAGAACAAAACCAGATATGTATCTGTTTCAGTGCTAGCTATTGAAGAAAGAAATGCTTTTAGAGCCCCCAAATAATGGCCTTTTCTTTTTTGTTTTGTAATACAGCCAACTAATCTAAGAAATCCTGAACTGGAAAGAAATGGACTTTATCCTCCCTACACTGGTTTGCCAGGATCCCGACATTCATGCATCTACCCCGGTCAATATAATCCTTCCTTTATTAGTGATGAAACCAGAAGAAGAGACTATTTTTAATCAGAGTGAGTGAGTGTGGAAGGTCATCGTAGTTACGTGCCGTGTGTTCACCAGGTACATGCTGTCACCTGGCAGCTCACTTGATGCCAGTTTTAGTCTTCACTTTTACCCTCACGGAGGACTTCAGTCTCTAGACAACACAGAGCAGAGCTGCCTTGGGAGAACCCATTCACAGCTGTGGTGGAGAAGCGAGGAGAAGAAGGAGCCCACATGCAGAGCGATATAAGACACAAGTAGAAGTTCATGGAAGTTAACCTGTACTCCAGTTTTTTCTTTCACCTCTTAACTTACGTCACGCGCATGTGGTAGTAGATCAGTACAGACAGACTAACTGATGATGGCACCCTAAAGCTAAAACCACTAGGGAGTGTTTTGTTTACAGGTATAGTAAATTGTTGGTCTGACTACTGTTTTTCCTTATGGCCAACCTATATGCAAAGATACACACTGTGCGATTGTTTTGGGTTGGAGGTTTGTGTTCACTGCACACTCTCGTCTCCTTTTCTGTGCCCTGTTCTGCTTCCTGCACTGGATTGCCCACAAATTACCATTTTCTTATTGGAAAGTATCAGTCTCTCAAAATGCCTGCTCAGCTGAGCCCTGCCTCTGGCCATGCTAGCTGAATTCATAAGCTGGCTTTTGTGAAGACATACAGGGAGCTTAGCCCTACCTCCTCTGTTTGAATGGGAAGCAAAGATGGAGCTAACTCCCAGAATGGATTTTAAAAATCTTCTTTGTATTCAGAAAACTCTCAGTGTGGCAGTGTTTTGTCCACCAATCTACAGTGTTGTTCAAAAAGTGTGGTATTCGACCGTAAATAGTCACCATAGCAGTCCCCAGCAGGACCTTACCTAGGGCTGTATCCCAGCCGGGATTTCAGTGCACTTCAACAAGAGCGAGATCAGGTATTTCTTAATGGAATTTTTTATAGGAAGGTATGTAGGAAGCAGTTCTCATTGCTGTGAAAAGATGAACATGTTGCTAAAGATCTGTAAGTGGAAAGTGGTTAAGTGTTATAGCATTTATGGGACAGAGATGATGTCAACTTTGGGCAGTGCATAAGAGGGAGTGGACCCAATGCCTGCTGTTGATTTTGGTGGTAGCTATAGGAATGCTTTGTAAAACTGGAGGTCAGGTTCGTTGTAACCAGTGACACGCACTGTGAGAAAAGCACAAGATCATAAGTAATGAAGGGTAAAGGATTCTAGACTGACTTCTTCCATTAGCCCCAATAATGGGTGATTCGGAGTGAAGGATCATTCACCACCCCTTCGTTTCATTCGTGGTCATTTACCACCCGTTTACCACGGAGCTAACTGGACATTTTTTTTAAAAAGGTGGCAATTTTTTTTCAAATTTTTCACCAAAAAATGTTTTCCCCTTTTCTGTTAAGTTTGTCATTGTTTTTGAGAAAATCAAAATGTCAGCATTTTCAACATTTGAAAAAAATGCCGTTCTCAATCAAGTGAGTCTAATGTCAAAATAGTTTCTCAGTGCTGTTTTACAGTTGTTTTCTCCTGTTCTAGTTTGTGCTGCACTGTGGTTTCCCCGAACGCTTTTCATTTTTTGAGATGCCGCGCTGGTCTCCGTAACTCTATTGATCATTTTGAAAGAAGCTCAAAGTTGATAATTTATTACATCCTTCAGCCAAAGGTCCCTGACTGCACAGGTGGATGCTTAGAGCAGTTCATGTTAATCAAGTACAGCAATGGCTTGTCTTCACTGCCAGTTCACACAAGTTGTAAGCTGAATGTTGCTCCTATTATGATTATCAGTTGCACACAAAAAACCCTTAATTACAATGTAATCGTTCTGCTCTGCAGGCTAAAGCTTATGTCAGTCCAGCCCCTTAGCTGCTATTGCCTCTCTGAAGCACAGATGAGCTCTGCTTAAGTGCTGCTGCTTCTCCAATGTCTTCCCACAATTTTTCCTGCCTGCGCCCAGAGAAGATAGGCAGCTTCTCTCTTAGTACACTGCAGATGTGAGCGCAGCAGTTGTGTGCGTGTTGCAAACCGAATGCCCTTTTGTGGCATGGCTGCCCTCACTCAAGCTTGACTACTTCAAGAGGCACCAGTGAAGGTAATGCAAGTGAACTCTGCCATGAAGACATGTCCTGAGTCACAGGTCAGGAGAGGAGCCGTTTACCATAGAGATGCTGAACCCCCGACCCCTGTGCACTGGGTGGTGGTAGACTTCTGACTTCTGTTACTGCTTGCTCCTGCGATGTAGGCAAGGCATAACAGGTGTATGCATCCAAGGAGGAAGGGTCTCATTTATGGCATGCAAGTCTAACTTGAGCTAATGAGCAGAAGTAGTAGTGTGGCCACACCACCATGCTCTTGCTTCTTTGGGGTCAGGCTCCCCTACCCTTCTTGTCCTGCTTAAACGCCACCAAACTTCACAGCTGCCTTGGGCAGGGTCAAGCCTGCAGAAGGTAATGTTTAACATATCTCAAGCAGGGGCCTATTTGCCGATCCACACAAGAATCTGATCCTACAGGGTGCTGTGCAGTTAGCAATTAAGGTGTCTCTGAGTAGGATGTAGCAGGACTCCCTCTGTCAGGAAGGGTTGCAGGATCCCTGCTTTAACCAGTTGAAAAATCACAGGGAAATCTTACACTATTTTTTCCTTGTAGTGGCTTGGATGCTTTTCTGAGCTTTGGAATGGGAAATGTGATCTGATCGTTCCTGATTTGGGTTATCTCACACTCTGATAGTTAGCTCTTCTGTTTCATTTCTTTGCTGTTTTTAAACACGTCTTTGGATGCATTTTTAACCTGTTAGCCGGGATGTTTTAGGATGTTAGCCTGGAATTACTGAGCAGTCTTGTTAGTGTCAGCATAGTTACCCACATTGCAGGGTTGCAAGACTAAGCCTTTTCCAAAAGAGAGCTCTTATTTTTATTATGGTATGTGTCTAGCATCAAAGGAAGATCATGGACGATCTTTGATGTTATGTTGGAATGAATCCTTCATGGGCTCCATTTGCTTTCAGACTGGTGCCCAGATGGACCCAGGACCTCATGAAGCAAATACAATGTTTTTTTTTTATATACGATCTTGGCGATAAATTGAACTTTGGGAGGATTTATAGCAGTCCATCCTTTGTCTTGAAATTCTTCATGATGTCGTGCTGCCAACAAACTACTACTTATTCCAGTCCACTTCTCAGCTGGATCTACTGATTTCTTCCCCGCTATAAAAATACTGGTTAGGCGGAGAATGTAATTTTCCAAATTCCACCAAATTCCCATTGATCTGAACTCTGCTAGCGTGCCAAATGGTGGCTGGGGGCATGGCACCCCAGTGAGACGGTTACGGTCCTGATCGTCATTGCAGGGGTGTGATGCGTTTCCACCTGGCTCTCTTCAACTAAACACAAATCCCTGATCTAGTTCTGACCTTGATATCTATTTCTATCTACTTGTCACCTTTGTACACAAGTACCATGCGGCAGTGGCATGTGATGTGCTATGCCTGCGTAGAGATGAGGAAGAGTCCAAGATGACTCATTCTTCCCCAATGCCATTTTCATTCTTTGGTGCTTTCTGTTACATACCTAAAGAAAAGCGGTCTCATTTTCAGAGGGTTTAGGTTCTACATTTTAGGATCCCAGAACTGCAATTTTGGCTCCCCTCCCATGTGTCATGGTCACTGTTTTCCTGGGCGAGGAGGATTAGATAGAAAGGAGCGTGAAAGATGTCTGTGGTCTGAGATAAGCTAGGACAGGCTACATGCGAGGTGTGGTTCCTTCTCCCCAGAGGTGTACCAACCAGAAATGAAAAGTTTTGCAGATCTACAGCAAAGTCAAAGTGTGTGTGCATTGTCCCGAGTGCCTCAACAGCCAGGGAGCGAGGCAGCCAATATTCAGCCCAGCTGCTGGGGGTGTTCAAGACACACGGCTGAACCTGAGGCTCTTATTTACTTGATGGATGTAATCCACTGCTTCTCTTTTCAGGTGCCAACAAAGTGTTGGAGCTTAAAATAGGGCGATAGCCGGAATAAAGGGCCCTTTGCCCTTGACACCATCATTGTTGTGCAACACAGCTAATTAGGCCATTTGCTGTTGCCACATCTCACCATAAAGTCCTGACATTGTTATCAAATTCCTGGACACTCCCTGTACGCGGGGCTGCAGCTGGGTGCAAGGAGCCTTTACTATCCAGCAGTTACAAACAGCCTCTGAAGACAGCACTGAGCTGCACCATCCTAGAGAGAAAACTTTCCCTTACAAAATGTGTGTGTCCTACAGTATTGCTACAGGACTTTCCCCCAACAGCGCACTAACACGAGGGAAAGACGTAGCAGGCTTGGCCACTGTTACACAACCCTGCTATATTTTATCAATGTTCCTTCCCAGGTGTTGGCCAATATGTTTTCCAAATCCATCTGGGTTTCTCATGCATCCTAATCAATGTTTGCTCTTTCTTACTTAAATGTTGTTTTTCCTTGTTCAGCATGGCTTAGACAGGGATGATTCTGCCTTGAGCAGGGGATAGATGACTTCCCGAGGTCCCTTCCAGCTTTCCTTTTCTGTGATTCTGTGCTTTCCGCCCTGACATTTTTCTTTTCCTTTTAGCAGACCAGGGACCTAATCCCACTTCCATTAAAATCCAAGGAAAAGTCTTCTCTGATTTTAATGGGAGTTTGATCCAGGCCTCAACTCATTCCAGCTTCAGGATGACCTTGGTTTTCATTGCAGATATTATTTTAGCTCCGTCTTGTGCGCTGGACACTCGTGTGACGTTTTTGCTGCCTTTAATATTGTATTTAATTTAAAGAAGTGTACTTAATGTTGTAGCAAACCCTGTATTATGTGAGATTGTACATACGTTGTTGTGCAAGGTCTGGAGCACCTTCTTAGAGAGAGGAAGAATGTGAATTTTATACATTGCCTGATCGCATTTCTCCTGTGCTAAGATCTTCTGGGGTCATAAATGATGTTTGTGTGTGTTCATCATAGTTGACGAACTGCTTTCTAATTCACGCGTTACTTCCCCGTTGGAAAGAGAATGGAGCCCCCCACTTTTGAAGGGGGGTGTCTAGCATATTATGTCTATTTTGGGAGTTTCAATGAGCCATTGTATAGCATATTTATTTTTTTGTGTTTCTGAATCTGCTGAGGCTCAACTAAGGGACAAAGATACGTACAGATGGTGGGGGGGGTGGGGAGGAGGGACAAAAACAGCAGAACAAAAAGTCAAAAAAATATTTATTTATTTAGCAGAAATAAATGTCTCAACCCAGTTTAGGATTTGGTTTTTCTGTTGGAAGAACTGACTTGTAATGAGTGGGCAGTACCTTTCCTATGTGTTGATTTGGGGTCTATGTCGGGAATACCTCTATGGGGGGAGAACGAGAGGTGTTGGCCTTACAGTCTTCAGAAGCAATATGCAAGTGATCCGATCCTTATTTTGTCAAGACTTTCATTGAAATCAATGGGTATTTTTGCCTGTGTAATCACTGCGAGGTGTAGTCCGGTGATCTGGATACAACCACCTGTTATGGAAAAGTCCCATGGAATATAAAAGAAAAGGGTAACTTTTCTTTCGGGGGGTCCAGTAGAAGTTGATTGAAAATTCCTTCTCTTCAGTAGACACAAAAGAACTGACTTGCAGGAAGGATATTTTCCCTTGTTAAATTATTTAGTTTATCAGTGAAATTCGGTGGAAATCAGCTGGCTTCGTCCCTCTATGTTTCCATAGGCCTTTTCCAAATAAGAAAGCAAACCAGACGCACCATCTTGGGAACAGCTTCCGAACTGCGACGGTGACATTCGTCTGCAGGGAAGTCTGTTCGAAAAGGCATCATTTCTTTGTGTTTCTGTTATTAATCTGAATGTACAAACAGTAGAGCTGCTTTAGGGCTTTCATCGTTCTGGATTTCCCTTCGCATATTTCTGAATGTTAGCTTCTGAGTTGTGGTTTTTTTTCATTAATTTTACAAACCAGTGTTATTTAAAGGTGTATCATATTTGCAACCTCCACTAATTACACAGTACTGTAGTAGGAAAGTATAATTTTTAAGGATTGGATTATTTTTATACCTGCATCCAATATAATTAAATCTGGCGTTCTAGTCAGTATCATAAAAAAGATACAATAAAACTATTAATATTATTATGACTCTATGCTTTGATTATGGAATATAATTTTGTGCGCGTGTCGATGGCTTTCTGAAAAGTTGAAGGAGAGCTTTTATCTTCTGAGTAGGGAACGAAGATAAAATGTTTATTAAAGGGATTATATGACATGGTTACATGCAGTAACAGAGGACTGTTCTTGATGACCCCAGAGGTTCCCTCTCCAT